GGTCCATCAGCAGGTTACATTGGCTGTACTGTAAAATGATACCCAGAATCTCACTGTTTTTTGTTTGTTTGTTTTGTTTTGTTTTTGTAAAGATTTTATTTACTTTTGTATTTGAGAGAGAGAATGAAGGAGAGAGCATGAGAGGGGGAAGGTCAGAGGGAGAAGCAGACTCCCTGATGAGCAGAAAGCCCGATATGGGACTTGATCCCTGGACCCTGGGATCATGACCTGAGCCAAAGGCCGTCACTTAACCAACTGAGCCACCCAGGTGCCCCAATCTCACTGTTGCGAATTCCTTCCAGTGCTATTGCCGTGGTATGAATTACTGTAATAGCCTCCTAAAATACTCTCCCTGCTTTTATCCTTGGCCCCTCAAACAGAATTCAGTATAGCAACCAGATCATTATTTTAATAAAATGAATGCATAAATATGTATAATATAAAATATATTTTAATATAAAAAAGCTGAATCAGAGGCACCTGGGTGGCTCAGTGGATTAAGCCTCTGCCTTCAGCTCAGGTCATGATCTCAGGGTCCTGGGATGTAGCACCGCATCAGGCTCTCTGCTCAGCGGGTGGCCTGCTTTCCCCTTCCCCTCTGCCTGCCTCTCTGCCTACTTGTGATCTCTCATTCTCTGTCAAATAAAATCTTTTAAAAAATGCTGAATCATGTTAGTGTTTTCCTAAAAGTTCTTTGTCATTCTTTCTCATTCCCATTAAAAGCCAAAAATTCTGAGGTGCCTGGGTGTCTCAGTGGGTTAGGCATCTGACTTTGGCTTGGGTCATGATCCGGGGATCCTGGGATGGAGCCCTGTGTCAGGTGTGTTGGCACCTTGCTCAGTAGGGAGTCTGCTCTTCCCTCTCCTTCTCTCCCCCCTACCCCCAGCTGCTCATGCTCTCTCTCTCTCAAATAAATAAATAAAATCTTTAAAAAAAAAAAAGAAGGCCAAAAATTCTATCATTTCCTAGAGGGCGTAGGTAAGTAACATGACTTCCTCCTCTGTCTCTGACTTGGTCTACCATTTTTCCTCTGTTTACCCCATTCCAGCCTTCCTGATTTATTATTTATTTGTCAAAGAGAAAGAACAGCAGGCAGAGCAAGAAGCAGACTCCCTGCTGAGTAGGGAGCCTGATGTGGGACTCCATCCCAGGACTCCAGGTTCATGACCTGAGCTGAAAGCAGACGCTTGACCAACTGAGCCACCCAGGTGTCCCAACTGATTTATTTAATATATCTCATTCATCAATAAGATTCCTGCCTCCTAAACTATGTGTTTGCTCTTCTCTCTGAGAAGAGTGCTCTTTTTCCAGATAACTGCTTGATTTGCTTTTTTATCTCCTTCACATCTCTGTTTAAATGGAGTCTTACCATGGGGCCTCTCCTGACTTCCCTATTAAAGTCTAGCATCCTGGCATTATTCTTCTTCTGTGTTTAAAATTGCTCCTTAGCACTTACTATTCGACATATAATTATTTCTTATGTGTTTGTTGGTTTTTTCTTTTATTTGAATTTAAGTAATTTGAAGATGCTAGAAAAAAATTGGTACTAGTTGGTGCTCAATAAATATATATTTTTTTAATTTTATTTTTTATAAACATATAATATATTTTTATCCCCAGGGGTACAGGTCTGTGAATCGCCAGGTTTACACACTTCACAGCACTCACCATAGCACATACCCTCCCCAATGTCCATAATCCCACCCCCCTCCCAATCCCCCTCCCCCCATTAACCCTCAGTTTGTTTTGTGAGATTAAGCGTCACTTATGGTTTGTCTCCCTCCCAATCCCATCTTGTTTCATTTACTCTTCTCCTACCCCCTTAACCCCCCATGTTGCATCTCCTCTCCCTCATATCAGGGAGATCATATGATAGTTGTCTTTCTCCGATTGACTTATTTCGCTAAGCATGATACCCTCTAGTTCCATCCATGTCGTCGCAAATGGCAAGATTTCATTTCTTTTGATGGCTGCATAGTATTCCATTGTGTATATATACCACATCTTCTTTATCCATTCGTCTGTTGATGGACATCTAGGTTCTTTCCATAGTTTGGCTATTGTAGACATTGCTGCTATAAACATTCGGGTGCACGTGCCCCTTCGGATCACTACGTTTGTATCTTTAGGGTAAATACCCAGCAGTGCAGTTGCTGGGTCATAGGGTAGTTCTATTTCCAACATTTTGAGGAACCTCCATGCTGTTTTCCAGAGTGGTTGCACCAGCTTGCATTCCTACCAACAGTGTAGGAGGGTTCCCCTTTCTCCGCATCCTCGCCAGCATCTGTCATTTCCTCACTTGTTAATTTTAGCCATTCTGACTGGTGTGAGGTGGTATCTCATTGTGGTTTTGATTTGTATTTCCCTGATGCCGAGTGATGTGGATCACTTTTTCAAGTGTCTGTTGGCCATCTGGATGTCTTCTTTGCAGAAATGTCTGTTCATGTCCTCTGCCCATTTCTTGATTGGGTTATTTGTTCTTTGGGTGTTGAGTTTGCTAAGTTCTTTATAGATTTTGGACACTAGCCCTTTATCTGATATGTCGTTTTCAAATATCTTCTCCCATTCTGTCAGTTGTCTTTTGGTTTTGTTAACTGTTTCCTTTGCTGTGCAAAAGCTTTTGATCTTGATAAAATCCCAATAGTTCATTTTTGCCCTTGCTTCCCTTGCCTTTGGCAATGTTCCTAGGAAGATGTTGCTGCGGCTGAGGTCGAAGAGGTTGCTGCCTGTGTTCTCCTCAAGGATTTTGATGGATTCCTTTCTCACATTGAGATCCTTCATCCATTTTGAGTCTATTTTCGTGTGTGGTGTAAGGAAATGATCCAATTTCATTTTTCTGCATGTGGCTGTCCAATTTTCCCAACACCATTTGTTGAAGAGGCTGTCTTTTTTCCATTGGATATTCTTTCCTGCTTTGTCGAAGATTAGTTGACCATAAAGTTGAGGGTCTATTTCTGAGCTCTCTATTCTGTTCCATTGATCTATGTGTCTGTTTTTGTGCCAGTACCATGCTGTCTTGATGATGACAGCTTTGTAATAGAGCTTGAAGTCCGGAATTGTGATGCCACCAACTTTGGCTTTCTTTTTCAATATTGCTTTGGCTATTCGAGGTCTTTTCTGGTTCCATATAATCAATAAATATTTTTGAATGAGGGGATATATTCTGCATTTTCATTGGTGTTACATTTTTAATTTTTTGGAGATTTTCATTTCTCTGTTTTCTCAATTTTTAAATTTTTCATAGTATATAGATGTAATATTTTTTTTCTTCTCTAGAATTATTACTGATAGCTTTAAAAAATCTTTTTATACTTCAAGTTGTTTATGTCATGATTGTTTTTGTCTCTGTTTCATGCTAGGGGCTTTCCTCTGATGTCTAGTGAACCGTGGTCAACTGTTCATATTCATACAGAAACAGTAAACTAATTGGAATCTGATTAATTGCGTGTCTAATGTCCAATGTCTGGAACATACCAGTATATCTTTGGGTCTTTCCTCTTAGACCGGTCAGATTCCACACAAAAGTTTATTTTAATTTTCTTGTTGGAGCAGATAGTCCCAGCTGCCAGCATTCTGGAGCCAGTAGGGTAAGAGGACTGGCAATCTATTTTCAGTATTTTCTTTTTTTAAAAGATTTTATTTATTTATTTGTCAGAGAAAGAGAGACAGAAACAGAACACAAGCAGGGGGAGCAGCAGAAAGGCAGAAGCAGACTCCCCACTGAGCAGGGAGCCTGATGTGGGACTCGATCCCAGAACCCTGGGATCATGATCTAAGCCAAAGGCAGACACTTAACCAACTAAGCCACCCAGGAGTCCCTATCTTCAGTATTTTTTTGACTTTTGTAAAGTATAATTACCCCAGTTGTGCCTGGTGCTGTGTAGCCCTTGGACTTTCTCTTTCATCCTCTTGCTTAGATAAAGGAGGAATGGTTATCAGGCTGCATGGAGTTCTGACTGCTTTTAAACTGACTTTCAACTAGTGCTCTTGTTCTTAACCCACATTTCCACCACTTCCACAGGTACCTGGTGCCAACAGCCCTGGAGTCTTTGGGAGTTTTGTAAATATGGGGGCTTCTCAGTCTTCTTCCACAGCCAGTTTAAGATTGCTTTCTATAGGAACCTCTGGGTGGCTCAGTTGGTGAAGGGTCTGCCTTCCGCTCAGGTCATGATCCCATGGTGCTGGGATTGAGTCCTAAATCGGGCTCCTTGCTTGGTGGGAAGCCTGCTTCTCCCTCTACTTGAGCTCTCTCTCTGACAAAATCTTAAAAAAAAAAAAAAAAAAAAAAAAGGTTGCTTTCCATATTTCAAAACTCTGTTACTGTTGTCCCTTATTATATATATTTTTATTATTAGGTGTTTATTCCCTTAAAAATTATTTTATTAAATATTCACAGGTTTCTGGAGGAATCCAAATATGTGGCCAATATGCTATTTTACCTGGAAAGCCCCTATTAATTCTTCATATTTTAATCACTGATAATTTTATCTGTTTTGTTCACTCCTCTATCTCCAGCAGCTAGAATAGTGCTCAGCCCATAGAAGATGCTTAGTAACCTTGGTAGATACTAGTGAGTGAGTGTGTGACCTCCCAGAAAGAAATTAAATATTCCATAGAATGGAGCAGCCTATTAGGATTTTAGATTCCTTTAGTAGTTTTTGGAAGTTCTAAAATCTAACAAAGACAAAAAATATCACATTATGTATAATACCTTATATTACTTACTGATTGTAAATAATTTAATAGATTCAAAGATACTAGCTATATTATATGCTCATCTACGTATACATTTGTATTTGAATGTACCAGAATCCATAGAAAAGGTTAGTTCAAATTGATTGGTAATCTCTGTTGTAATATAATTTTATGCTGGTTTAGCTTTTTCCTAAATTTTGTCTTTAGTTGTTTAAAGTTTCAGGTTTTACTTATTTAAGCAATTTGGAGAATGTTAGATATGTCTCAGTTAACTAAAGCAAATTGTACTTATTTGATTTTTACAGAGATACATTTGATATTGCATGGAATGGCAGAACTGGGATTCGTCAGAGCAGACTATCGAGTAGCACCTCTTTGCTTGATAAGGATGGGATATTTGCTAATTCAGCTAGCAGCAAACTCTTGGAGAGAGCCCATGGAATTCTCATGTTAGTATTGATCAGAAATGTGGATTGCTTTTTATGATTAGTTTATAATTTCTGGCTGAAAAATAAGAGGGATAATGGTGAATCATTTTCATGAGTAGAATTTTGAGCAAAACAAATGGATCAAAAGTTGTATTTAAAGCCGTGAATTTCATGCATTAAGAAGCTGGTGGGTGGTTTGTTTGTTTTCATCTCACTAGGAGAATCATGGTTGGATATATTCATAGAGATGATTATTATTCTTTGACAGACCCTACCTCCAACTAGAGAAAAAAACTTTTAGCTCCTTTTAGGATTCCCAGTCTTGAACCACAAATGTCCTTTAATTTGGACAGTTCTAAGAAACTGGGCAGTAAAATCCCGTATAAAATGGTGACTGGGCCTTCCAGAATGTTAGGTACAACAGCCCCTGTTTCTATTATGGTGATTTGAATGTCAGATTTAGGGCTCCATCAAATTGGCTTTGACTTTTTGTAACTTAGAAGAAGCACTTTGTGAGATGTTTATATAACATTCAAGAGCCTGTCTTTCTACCAAACAATAAACTAGAAAGAACCATGAAAAAAAATGGTGACTGGGAGCATGTATAGTGATACATTACCTTTATCCAGCCTGCCATTCCTCATTACCTGAGTATAGGACTGGTTTGAAGACATAAATATAACTATGCAGGGTGGACCAGTAAAAAATTATTAGCTCCCTGTATCCACATATTTCAGACACTATTTTTGGGCCACTAGCTAGCTAGATGTATGACTAAATTGGATTCTTTAATCCCTCAGTTAATGCTTATCAGTGCTATCAGTTTAAGTCTTGCTATACTACAGACCTGTAAATTAACTCATTTAATCCTCACAACAATTTTAAGAGGTTGGTGGTATTATCATCTTCATTTTACATTATTACATTCTACATTATTTTCCGTTATCACATTGATGAAACTGAGACTTAGAGAAGCTAAAAATTCTACCCAAGTGGGATTTAGATTTAGGTAGAGTTTAGATTCAAGCTCAGGCCTTTCTGACTCCCCAGTTCATGTTCATAAGCTTTGGGCATTATTTCTTTTCTTTTCTTTATCTGTTAAAAAAAAAATCTTGATGTAAATATAATATTGAATTATAAACAAGGAAAAATAATTTTTAATTTTTTTAAAAAGATTTTACTTATTTGTTAGAGAGAGATTGCGCAAGCAGTGGGAGTGGCAGGCAGAGAGAGAAGCAAGCAGATTCCCTGCTGAGCAGGGAGCCAGATGTGGGCCTGATCCCAGGACCTTGGAATCATGACCTGAGCCGAAGGCAGACACTTAACCAGCTGAGCCACTGAGGCGTTCCAAGAATTTTTGATTTCTAAAAGGGGAAAGTCATAAGTTTTTTTTAATAAGTATATTGTAAAAATCCATGAAATTAGGCATCTATTTAAAGTCTTAAAATGGGGGCTCCTGGGTGGCTCAGTGGGTTAAAGCCTCTGCCTTCAGCTTTAGTCATGATCCCAAGGTCCTGGGATGGAGCCCCACATCGGGCTCTCTGCTCAGCAGGGAGCCTGCTTCCTCCTCTCTCTCTCTACCTGCCTCTCTGCCTACTTGTGATCTCTGTCTGTCAAATAAATAAATAATACATATATTCTTCAATAAATAAATAAATAAATAAATAAAGTCTTAAAATGACAGAAGCAAAGTCTCTATAGATATAAGAAAATGGAACTTTATTAATGTCCAAAAGAAGACAGAATTTTAGTTTTGAATGTACAACATTACATTACTGATTACCAGGCTTAAATCTGTTTATACCAGTATCACAGAGCAGGCATTTCTTTTCTTGTTCTCTTTTCCTTGCTTATTTTTCATTACCAAAGGTGCTGCTTAGTTGAATCAGTCAGTGTGTTCATATAAAAGATCTATATCTTGGAAATGGATATATAATATATTATTTTAGTAGAGACTGGAAATTATTCATATGTACAGTCATTTTTTCTAATAGTTTCTTATTTTTCAAATGTAATGATTTGTCTGTATAGGAGAAACAAAAATTTCAAGTCCAGGCCTGGCCTTCCAAAGGTGAGTATTATGAAAAACTTTTTTCTCTTTGTGCCTTACACCCTATTTAATTTTTTATTCCTCATGCAAACAGTCTTTATAAATAATCAAACATAAGCAATACCTTATTTGTACCCAAGATAGGGATTAATTTTGTGTAATTAGTTAGATCCATTTTAGAAATAACACTGGATGTTAGGGAATGGCTAGGTTTAGTGGTTCAGGTAAATATTTGTGATATATCTCATATTCTAGTGTTTGAAAGCATCTGAATTATAAATATTAATTTTTGTTGAGTAATTGTAACTTTACACCTTTTCTTGTATCCTTAAGCCAGGTTAAGGTCAAATTTTGAATTTTACCTGATTTTAAATAATTTCTAATTAGTACTTATCTAACTTATTATCCTTTAGCACTAGTCAGCCAAGTTTTTCTGTAAAGGTCCAGATAAGCTCACAGAACTCTAGTCTTTGTTAACTACTTAACTGTGCTATTGTAGCACAAATGCAGCTATAGACAATATGTAACTGAGTAAATGTGACTATATTCCAGTAAATCTTTATTTTTGGACATTGAAATTTGAATTTCACATAATTTATCACATGTCATTAAATATTATTTTAGTGTTTTTTTCAACCATATAAAAACAGTGGATAAGATTTGGCCCATGGCTTTAATTTTCCTACCATGAACTACATAGTAGATTTTTGGATGGCATTGCAAAAGTATTAAGTTTACTAAAGGAAGAAAAATCTCTTTCTTTCTCTTGTACCATCCCAAAGAAGGCAATCTGTCACTTGTCAACTTTTTTGATAAATTCCGAAATTTAAAAACAAAACTGAGAAAGAACTGTTTATTCTCATGATTCCCTAGTTTAAAAAACGAACAAACAAAAAAATATGAGGTTATTATTTCTTCTACTTAAAGCCTCTTAGGTTTCCAAAGAAAATGTAATACACTGCTTATGTGGTTTCTGGTAGTGGTAGATATTTTTTTTTTTTTAAGATTTTTATTTATTTATTTGAGAGAGAGAATGAAAGAGAGCATGAGAGGGGGGAGGGTCAGAGGGAAAATCAGTAGCCTAATGCAGGACTCGATCCCAGGACCCAGGACCATGACCTGAGCTGAAGGTAGACGCTTAACCAACTGAGCCACCCAGGTGCCCAGCAGATACTGTTTTAAACCATGAAGCACAAAGAAAATTTATGTTACATGGTTTGTAATTATACTCTTGTCATGAAAAGATTTTATGTAAAGAAAAAGGGTACCGCTTTATCATCAAACATCTTATCTTTTCATTTGTGTCTCTTTTTCCTTCACTGTCTCTTTAGTCTTTTGTTTTTGTTTCAAGTTTTTATTTAAATTCTAGTTAGTTAACATGCAGTGTAAACTTGGTTTCAGGGGTAGAAATTAGGGATTCATCACTTGTATAGAACACCCAGCGCGCATCACAAGTGCCCTCCTTAATACCTATCCCCCACTCACCTCCCTCCATCAATCCTCAGTTTGTTCTCTATAGTTAATAGTCTCTTATGGTTTGCCTCCCCCCTCCTTTTTCTTCTTCCCCTACACTGTTTTGTTTCTTAAATTACACATGAGTGAAATTGTATGGTATTTGTCTTTCTCTGACTTATTTCATTCTAGCTCTATCCATGTTGTTGCATATGGCAAGATTTTAATCTTTTTGATGGCTGAGTAATATCATTGTGTGTGTGTATATATATATATTTTAAAAAATGCTGAATCATGTTAGTGTTTTCCTAAAAGTTCTTTGTCATTCTTTCTCATTCCCATTAAAAGCCAAAAATTCTGGGGTGCCTGGGTGTCTCAGTGGGTTAGGCATCTGACTTTGGCTTGGGTCATGATCCGGTGGCGTGTGTGTATATATATATATATATATATATATATATATATATACACACACACACACTATATATATATATATATATACATATTTTTTTATCCATTCATCAGTTGATGGACATTTGGGCTCTTTCTGAAATTGGCCTTTTAGTATTTTGAATGCCACCACTGGGTCTAGCTATTTCTACCATTCTTTTTACTCTCCTCAAATGAATAACTTCTCTTTAAACTTCATATGGTTTAAAAATATTCATGTTGGCTACACCTGAAATAAAAAATTCTATTCAGTTATCAGTCACAGGAATCTCTTCTATTTCTCTATTTATTTTTATTGACGTATAATTTATATACAGTGTTGTACTAGTTTCAGTTTACAACATGTTGATTCATTGATTCTCTTCGTTACTCAGTGCTCACCACCTGTCACCAACAACGTTATTATAATGTTACTGACTATATTCCCTATGCTGTACTTTTCATCTATGTCACTTTTTTATTTTATAACTAGAAGTTTGTATTTCTTAATCCCCTCTATTTCACCCCTTCCCTCTGGAAACTATCACTTTTTTTTTTTTTTTTTTTTTTCTGTATGAGTCTGTTCATTCATTTTGTTTTCTGGATTTCACATATAAGTGAAATCATATGGTATTTGTCTTTCTCTGTCTTACTTCACTTAGCATAATACCCTCTTGATCTATCCATGTTGTCACAGATGCCTAGATCTCATTCTTTTTTATGGCTGAGTAATAGCCCTATTGTGTATATGTGTGTGTTTGAATACATATACCTTACCTCTTCTTCATCCATTCATTTGTTGAGTGTCTGTTGGATTGCTTCCATATCTTGGCTGTTGTAAATAATGTTGCAATAAACGTAGGGGTGTGTATATGTCTGAATTAGTGTTTTCGTTTTCTTTGGGTAAATACTGAGTAGTGGAATTATTGAATCATACGGTATTTCTATTTTTAATTTTTTGAGGAACCTGCATACTATTTTTCATAGTGGCTGTACCAATTTAGGTTCCACCAATAGTGCATGAGGGTTTCCTTTTCTCCACGTACTCACTAACACTTGTTATTTCTTGTCTTTCTGATGCTAGCCATTCTGATAGGTATAAGGTGCTATCTCACTGTGGCTTTGATTTGTATTTCCTTGATAATGAGTGCTTTTGAGCATTTCTTCCTGTGTCTATTGACCATCTATATGTCTTCTTTGGAAAATGTCTCTTTGGTTCTCTGCCCATTTCTTACTTGCTTCATTTTTATTAACCCCTTCTTGGTTATATCATTTGCAGATATCTTCTCCCATTTATTTTGTTGCCTTTTCATTTGGTTGATGGTTTCCTTTACTGTGCAAAGCCTTTTTATTTTGATATAGTTCTAGTATTTATTTTTGCTTTTGTTTCCCTTACCTAAGGAGACATATCTAGAAAAATGTTGCTAAGGCTGGTGTTCAGAGGGATTACTGCTTATGTTTTTTTCTAGGGTTTTTGTGGTTTTGGGTCTCACATTTAGGTCTTTAATCCAAATTTGAGTTTACTTTTGAGTATGGTGTGAGAAAGTGGTCCAGTTTCATTCTTCTGGATGTAGCTGTTCAATTTTCCCAATACCTTTTATTGAAGAAGTCTTTCCGCATTGTATATTCTTGTCTTCTTTGTCACAGATTGATCATGTGTGGGTTTATTTCTGGGCTCTGTATTCTGTTTCATTGACTTTATGTCTGTTTTGATTAATACCATAGTTTTGATTAATACAGCTTGGTAGTATATCTTGAAATCTGGGATTTTGATACCTCCAGTTTTGTTCTTCATTTTTCAGGTTGCTTTGGCTATTCAGGGTCTTTTGTGGTTCCTTACCAATTGTAAGATTATTTTTCTACTTATGTGAAAAATGCTTTTGGTATTTTGATAGGGATTGCATTGAATCTATAGATTGCTTTGGTAGTATAGGCATTCTAACAAATATTAACTCTTCCAGTTCTTGAGCATGGAATATGTTTCCATTTATTTGTCATCTTTAGTTTCTTTCATCAGTGTATTTTAGTTTTCATAGTACAGGTCTTTAACCTTCTTGATTAAGTTTATTCAAAGGTATTTTAATCTATTTGGTGCAGTTGTAAATGGAACTGTTTTCTTAATTTCTCTTTCTGCTATTCATTATTAGTGTATAGAAACAACAGATTTTTGATATTAATTTTGTATTCTGTAACCACTGCATTCACTTATTATTTCTAATAGTTTTGTGTCAGTCTTTAGAGTTTTTTATGTATAATATTATGTCATTCGCTAACAGTATCAGTTTAACTTCCTCTTTACCAACATGGCTGCCTCTTACATTTTTGTTTTTGTTGTCTGACTGCTGGGGCTAGGACTTCCAGTACTATGTTGAATAAAAATGACAAGAGGAAAGCAGTGGATATCTTTGTCTTGTTCCTGATATATGGTATTTTGTCAGAGTAGTTGCAAATATTTTTCCGTGTCAGTAAATTCAGGTTACAGTATGTTTATGAACTGTGTAGTATTTAGTTGTATGGCTAAAGCAGACTTTATGAAAATAATTCTATATAATTGTATATCTCTTGTTTTTCACTGTTTTTTGAAGTACATTGTCAGAAATAATTTTCAGATCTTCTTTGATAATCTCCTTAAATAAATACCTATAAGTGAAATTGTTTATCAGGAAAGTTATACTGATTTACATTCCTAAGAACAGTGCATAATTATGTTTATTTTTTCACAATTTTGCAAATACTAGGTTTTGTTAATCTTTGTTATGTTGCCAATCTGATATGCAGAAATTCTATTCTTTTTTTCAGAAAATCTGTTTTTTTTTTTAAAGGTTTTATTTATTTGAAAGTGAGAAAGCAAGAATAAGCTGGGGGGAGGGGTGAGGAGAGAGGGAGAAGCACAGATTCTCCACAGAGCAGGGAGCCCCAATGGCAGGCCTTGATCTCTCTGAGATCAGAATCTGAGCTGAAAGCAGATGTTTAACCGACTGAGCCACCCAGGTGCCCCAGAAAATCTCTTCAAAAGAAATGTTCTTTTTTTTAATTATAAGTCAGGTCGAATGATTGTCATTATGTTATTTGTCATTTGTGCTTTATTTGAGAATCAGCTGTTTCAGGTCTTTTGTTCATTTATAATTGTGGGATGAGTTTTTAAAGGAATTTTTATAGTTCTTATGTATAGATAATAAGTATTTGTCATTGTTGGAAAAATTTTATTTAGTTGCATTTGTTAAAATATGTATTATACTTGTTGCCACTTGAAGGTTTATATCTTTAAGTGTTTATATTGTCAAAATTAATATTTTTAGACTTAAATTTGTCATGTTTTTAACTCAGTTCTGTGCTTCTCATACAATAAAATTTTTAGTACTTTTTGAATAACCTTATATAGTTGTACATATGTACAGATACATTCTTTCCATGGCCAGACTCACTGCCATAATTATGGTATGATTTTAAAAATTGTGAATGGCTACAAAAGCTCTCAAATACTTCATTAATATCCTATTTTATATTCTTTAGTTGCTTTATGTATAACTCCTATCTTATTATTGAAAGATTAGTAATTAGTGTATCGGGATTATGGTTGATAGGGTTGATGTTTTGTTTTTCTCTGTATATTTCTGGTTTATGTGCGTAGCCTTTGGATTGAATTTAATTTATTGTCTCTGTGAATCAGGATTCAGTTACAGATAATAATAGTAACTGTGGATTTTTTTTTAAAGATTTTATTTATTTATTTGACACAGAAAGAGAGATCCAAGTAGGCAGAGAGGCAGGCAGAGAGAGAAGGGGAAGCAGGCTCCGCGCCAAGCAGAGAGCCCAATGTGGGGCTCGATCCCAGGACACTGGATCATGACCCGAGCCGAAGGCAGAGGCTTAACCCACTGAGCCACTGAGGCGCCCCAACTGTGGATATTTTTAAGTAGAAAAGGACTTAATTCAAAGAGGCACTTACAAAATCATTAGAAGTCTTGGAGTTTCTAAGTGTAGTGCAGAACTGACTCCTGCTGTAATCAGCTAGGAAAGTAGGAAACTGCCATTCTAGCTGCTGCTTCCAGACACACACTACCTGTAGTATGATCCAGGAATCAGAAAGGAGCAGCTACAACTATTGGCTCCAGGGCTAAGGTGCATTTACCCAGAGTTTCAGTGACAACACAAATTCTCTGTACTCTGCCTCTCAACTCATAAAGGTAGTACCTGGACTTTGGGATCACAAAAAAGCTAAAGTACTTTGATGTGCCTGCTTGTCAGAAGAAACAGAAGCTCGTAATCAAAGTCTGGTTCAGTTATATCTTTCTAGTTTCACATGTGGGATTTTAAATGATAAGCTTAAATTGCATCTGGAGGCCAGATGCAAGAGAATTTGAGAAATGCAGTTTTCTTTTTAGTTGGAAAGCTTCTGCAGGAAAACAGGAGGAAGATGGATGGATGTTGAATATCCAATCTCTCATATTCACCATAGTCATTATACATAGGTGATAATGAAAACTGGATTATAACTTTGTTTTTCCTGTTCTTTGATTAATTTATGTGAGGAATATGATTTTTCTCACTTCTTTTTAGCACTTGCTAGAGGTAAATTCTTTAAAGCACCTGACAAGACTGACGCTACAGGATCGCATCACCAAGTCTCTTCTTCATTTGCACAAGAAGAAAAAGCCTCCCAGTATCAGTGCCCAGTTTCAGGTTATTTCTTATTTTACCTTTTTATTAAAAAAAGGGCTTTCTTTAGAGGACTCTGTTTCATTCAAAATGACATTGAAAAGTCAAGATCATCTTCAAGATACCTGAATGGAAGATGATACATATGACTTAAAAGCCATATTATAGTGGTCATTTTGGAGAGAAGTAACAGGGGTGGAAAAGTCAGCTGTCTCTCTTTTTCATCCCTTTATGTGTGGGTGGTGGATATCCCAGAGAGTACTTCATTGTTTTCAGTGTGAGGAGACAGGCAGCAGAAAACTGATACTATAAATAAAACCTGCGTTTAAGCCCTACTGCCCAGATACAGTCACTGTTAACATAATGTGTATCTTTTTTCTATATACATTTTAAACTTCATGCTACTCCCATTTATATTTAACTAAATGAGATTGCTGATATTTTCTGGTTTTATTTTAGTTTTAGATACATAGAAATCCATTTCCTTTTATTGTGACTGGGCATTTGGCAATAAATGTGATCATAATAAATCAAATAACAATTATATAATTGTCAAGCTGACTTTTATTCTTTGAACATATATCTATGTCTTAAGTTTTCTATAATACTTATATATTAGCCTTACAATAAGAGGAAAAGACATCTAAAAAGGATTATTTTTTCAAAGATAAAATAATCCTTTTTAGATGTCTTTTCCTCTTATTATAAGGCAAAGATAGTTCATTTATAGTAGCAGGAGGCTGATTGGTGGTTTGCTAGGGCTGTGAGCAGGAGCAGTTATTAGTTGCATTGGGCAGGAGGGAAATTTTTGGGCCGATGGAAGATTTTTACATCTCACTTGTAGTGATGTTTGTACAGTTATATCAGCTTACTAAAGATCATTGCTATATATACTATAATGGGTATATTTTTATATTACTTAAATTATATTTCAATAAAATTGTTAAAAACAATTTTATTTAAAAAACAATAAAATTGTTAAAATCTCACTATTAAGAGAATGAAAAGGCAAGCTGCAAGGTATGAAAATATACTAGCAATACAACTTAAAAAGACCTTGTATATGGAATATATGAAGAACCACAAATCAATTTTTTAAAAAGACAGATACCCTAATTGAAATGGGCAAAAGTCTTGAATAGCCAAAACTTGTCTGATCTCAAAAGTTGTAATCCACAAAGCCAATGAGCCTATTAAATACCTGCCCAACATTATTAGTCATCAGAGAAATGCAAATTAATACACATTTGCTTGCATGGCTGGAATAAGAAAAGACTGATTATACAAAGTGTTCGCAGGGATGTGGAGCAACCAGAACTTTGATACACTGCTATTGAAATATAAACTGATGCAGGTATTTGGAAAATAGTTGAAGGATATGTAGAAGAATGCCCATAGCAACTTTATTCATAATAGCCCAAATTGGAACAAATAAATTTCCATCTTCAGTGAGTTATTTAGTTGTGGCATAGTCATATAAAGGATCCCTACTATATAGCACTGAAAATGTGCAAAATATAATTAAATGCAACAAATACAAACTAGAACATAGTGTGTCTTGGGTTTTATGTGCGGTCATAGAACAGGCAAAACTAACTTACCATCTTAGAAGTCAGGGTAATGGTTACCCTTGGTTCAGGTGTGGAGGTAGGTAACTTAGGGATAGCGACTTGCTAAATTCAATGGGATAGGGTAAAGAGGGGCTTCAAAGGTTCTGGTAATATTTTGATTATTGAGTTGGGCTTTGGATACAAGAATGTGTTCCTTTTGTGAAAATCTGTCAAACTGTATACTTGTGATTTAAGCATTTTATTTTATGTATTTTATACTACAATAAACATTTCTGAGAAAAAAAGAACACTTAAAAAGTAAAAAAAAAAGTATATGTTGCTATAATATATATGACAGTAATAATAGGAATCTATATGGTTATAAGGCTTCTAAGTTTTACTTGAAGTCATGAAATACTAACTCTGAGCAGACTGTGACAAGTTAAGTTTCCATATTATAATCTGTAGAGCAGCCACTAAAAAATATTACGAAGAAATATAACAGAGAAGCCAATAGATAAATAGAATACTAAAAAACAAAATATGTTATCTGACCATAACGTGGATTTAAACCAGAAATCAATAAAGGAAAGATAATAATCCCCAGATATTTGGAAAATAAAAGGCAGACATCTAAATAATACATGAGTCAAAGAGATTTTTAAAATATTTTAAATGAAAGTGAAATATCAAAGTTTGTGCAGTGTAGCTAAAGCAGTGCTCCAAGGTTCATTGATAACATTAAATGCTATTAATGAAAGGAAAAAGATCTCAAATCAATAACATAAGCTTCTCTCTTAGGAAACTAGCAAAAGAAAAACATATAACTAATTCCAAAGCAAGCAGATGGAATGAAATGATAAAGATAAAAAACAGAAATCAGTGAAATTGAAAACAAAAATAATAGAGAAAATTACAAAACCAAAAAGTTGGTTCTTTGATAAGATAAAAAAAAGTTATAAACCTCTAGCTAGATTAATCAGGAAAAAAAAGAGGTAAAGTACAAATTATCAGTATCAGGAATGAAAGAGGGGACATCACTAGCATGAACACTGAAAGTGGGGGACTACTAGCTAGTGGATACCCTACTGGAGATTTTCAAAGTTGTTTTAGGAACACATGAATTTGAATAAATGGTTTCATGAAATGTGAAGAAAAGTGAAAAATTTATTCTAGACTTATGTTATTCTGTAATATATCTGCAATTTATACTGTTGCCAAAATATCAGCTCTATGATTAAACTACCATCCTTCTTAATTTAATCAGTATGGGAGTATACACAATTCTCTTGAGAAAGAAAGCTCTTTCTGTGTATACCATTGTTTCAGCATAGATTGCCAACATTATTGTTTGTATTTGTAAATTATTTCCTGCCAGTTTGAAATGGGAGAAAATGCTTAATACATTGCTCTGTATTGCAGGCCTCCTTAAGTAAGCTGATGGAGACACTTGGTCAAGCAGAACCCTATTTTGTAAAATGCATTCGCTCTAATGCTGAAAAGGTAAAAATGTCCTGTAAATCAGAGCTTCTAGCTCCACTTACTTCAAACCAGGTTTTACATTTTTTTAAGGAGAGTAAGTAGAGGAAAGAGCTATCTATAATCTTTTAAATGAAAACAGTGTTCTGTATTTTCTGTAGGTGCCCTTCTAATTTCTGTACTTAACTGTCTTTTTGGTATTTATATGGGCTTGATTTAGTGTTTCCTAAAAATCTGAGAAGCAAATATGTTATGAAATTCCATCATAAAAAAGAATTTTATGCAAGTTAACCATACTTATGAGAGAAACATTAATTTGGAGCTCTCTTCGTCTGGTTTAATCTTTTTTCCATTTGCTTTGTTTTAGCTGCCATTAAGATTCAATGATGCCTTAGTGCTTCGACAGCTTCGGTACACTGGAATGCTAGAGACCGTTCGAATTCGCCAATCCGGATACAGCTGCAAATATGCTTTCCAGGTTATGTTTTTATAGTGATATTTAAATTATATACACTTAAGTAAGTTATTCCTGTGTCTTGCTTATTTTTTATTTGGGACTCACTTGTTTATTTCTCCTATTTCTTCATTTGCATCCCATCTTTTGTATAAAGAATTGAAGAGGGATAGAGAGTACTCACTTCCATTGAATGGCAGCAATCTTACTAAACTTGTGTTGTGATAAAATCCAGTTCCTGGCTATTCTCATTTTATCTGAATTTTGCCAGTACTAAGTTTACTCATAACACAGTAGTTCTTCCTACTGATTACTCCAGTAATTGAAATAGTTCAATCAGAACTAATTCAAAAGATTCCATTTAGTTTTCTGCAAAGTTCCCTCAGCAAAATTTTCTCATGGTAAGCTGCCAACAGGGCTTACAGTTATTCTCATCAGCTGTTGTATATAGAAATTATGGTGAAGATTTTCAGCAGCTGAGCAGGTTCTTTGCTGTTTCTGGGAGGGAAAGCTTCGTTCTCAATTATACTCTGACACCTTTGCATATTTTTCTGCTAAAAATTTCAGTTATTAAATAACTTTTTCTTTGGTCATTAATTTAGCTTTCTCAAGAGGGACCATTAGTTTCTGCTTTTTTCTTCTTCAGTTCCCCTTTGATAACAAAATATGTAGAATTCACTATCTTCTCTCCACCCCCCCACCACCATTTTACAAATTAACTGTAATTTTTTAAATTAAGAAGTAATTTCTTGGTTTTAGTCTGTTAAAAGATGAGGAAAGGATCAATAAAAGGGCAATTAGCTGCTTTAGGACCATGTTTACATATAATTTTCTTGTGATTTTACAACATTTTTCTTTTCATTTTTCAGGATTTTGTGAGCCACTTCCATGTACTTCTTCCCCGAAATATTATTCCATCCAAATTTAACATTCAGGATTTCTTCAGGAAAATAAATCTTAATTCAGATAATTACCAAGTTGGAAAATCCATGGTAAATATAATATATACAGTCCTTATCAAATTTGAGTACATTTTTATATTAAAATAATAATGGCAATCTTTCCCCATGAGAATATTTATGAAAAAGTTAGTGTACCAGATATCATTATGGGAAATTGATTAGACCAAGATTTTTACTTAGTATCGTTCGTATCAACCAAAGAGCTTCTGGCCAGTGCTCCAGTTCTGCCCATAGTTTTAACTGCCTAAAAACAATCTCCTCCCAGGTATTCTCTCTCTTTTTTTTTTTTTTTGTAGGAGAACGCTTGGTTTTACTCTATTAGCAGACTTCAGTTATACAATACAGTATCATCAACTATAGTCACCATGTTATGCATTATATCCTCAGACCTCAGTTAAAATGGAAAGTTTGTAGCCATTTACCAGCCTCTCCCTATTTCACCCATCTTCCACCCCAGCCCCTGGCAATCACCTCTACTAACCACTTCTATGTATTTGATATATTTTTTAGATTCCACTGTTAGTTTGCAACTTCCTTGGGGGCTCTGCTGTTGTAGCTGCCCTCCCCCCGTCCCAAGTGGAAGGCAGGGAGAGACCAAAGAAAGAACCAGGCTATTTCATATTGGTGGGCAGCAGCTTTATGAAGCTGGAACTTAAGAGGTTTGTGTTGTGCAGAGGCAAAAACACGACCTCCACCCTGCCTGCTAAATTTTAAAGTTTATACAGAGGCAGGTATTCTACTGAAATCTTCAACTCAACTTGCTCAGTGACCTTATCCAGATTTTCCCACTGTCATTAATTTATCAACTGCCTTTTATCTCTGTCATCCTTCTTCTAGGTTATGAGATTTGGCCTAGCCTTCACTTTAATCCTTTTACAAAGTTCTTTTTCTTTTTTTCCTCACAAATGATTCTCAGAGTATCTCTCCCTTTTTCTTCATTTCTACTACTTGCATTTTAGTTTGTTCCTTAGCTCTCACTTACATTTCTCTTACAGTAAACAGATCCCTCATCCAATTTCAGTCCTTGTCATTCCATTTACCTCATTCTACCCATAGTATCAAAATCATAATCTTAATATACCTCTTTCTCTTATGTTGGCTTCCTGCTTAATACTAATCCCATGATAACCTCCCCATTCAATTCAAACATCTCTCTCTTCAAGAACCTCCATATCATGACTTCATACCATTTACTATCTTCTTTATGAACCCTGTATATGCTGCCCTGAACATGTACATTTGTTATTTCCGGCTCCTTGTTTTGCTCAGGTAGAAACCTCTGTCTTTTGCCCTTAAAGTTTATGGTTTTCCTTTTTGTGTATCTAATACCTATCTCTTCTTTTTTTAAAATAGTTTAAAATTTTTGACAGACATGGAAGGTGATGGGTATGTTAATTAGTTTGTGATAATTACAGTGGATACATATATCAAAATAACCCACTGTATACCTTAAATATATACAGTTGTTTCTGTCCACCTGCTTTTAAGGGTAAAGTGCAAATCGTATTTCCAGAGGGTCTATGTCTAAGTTATATTTGCTTTATCCTATACCCCAAAGATTTATTAATGGAATGAAAGAGTAAATAAACTGGTTAATAGCCTTGGGTAGCAAGAAACTCTTGATGCATACTGGGTTTCAAAAAGACTATTGTTATTGATTTATTCATATTATCATCAAACTTCAAGAACTGTGTTTCTCAACTTTTCTCCCCGCACCCTAACTAATATCCTTGAAAATAGGAAAAATGACGTTATCAGTGGTACATTGTCTCATGAGGGCAGTGAATTTCCCAAGGGAATAATATATCACAATCTGTAAGACTGGGAATTTTATAATCATGTCCATTTTTCCATTTTCCCTTCTATATTTTAATGTCTCTATTTTAATTTGAGAATGACTTCTTTAGATAAATGGATAGAAATGTTTATTAGTACTGCTTTTCATGTCTACCATTGTATTCTTCTCTAAAGAAGCTTACCACAGAAAGGATGATTCATGCAATATATTTCTCATTTCTTCTTAAGCTGTATTCCTCATCTTTCTTCTTTTTGGTAGGTGTTCCTAAAGGAACAGGAACGACAGCACCTACAAGATCTGCTTCACCAAGAGGTGCTCCGCAGGATCGTATTGTTGCAGCGATGGTTCAGGGTTCTGCTGTGTAGGCAGCATTTTCTCCATCTGAGACAGGCATCCATCATTATCCAGGTTGGAAGCAAAGGATTCCTCCCATGAGATTTGCTAGTTAATGTGGCCTGGCCTTTATTTTAGTAATCAGAATTTTACTGTGAAACATTTGAATAAGAATATAAACTTCAGAGATGAGAATGTGTCCTATTCATCTTTTTTAAACATTCATGTTTATTTATGTATTTGAGAGAGAGAGAGAGAGAATGCACAGGGGGAGGGGCAGAGGGAGACGGTAGAAAGAGAATCTCAAGCAGACTCCCTGCTGAGTGCAGAGCCTGACACAGTGTTTGATCTCATGACCATGAAATCATGACCTGAGCTGAAACCAAGAGTTTGATGCTTAACCTACAGAGCCACCCAGGCACCACTCCTGTTCATTTTTGAAATTTTCATTTCACCCAACAGATTACGTATTATAATAATAGGTATATAATAATAGACTATTGATAAATACTGATAAAGTTGAGTTTAAATTAAATTGAATTTTAGCTATAATATCTTACAAGGTATGGTTGGGACAAAGAAGTTATATGCCTTAATTTTTGATGACATAGTTATATTTGTTTGATAGTTTCCTGAGAATATGAGAGTTACATATACATTGTTGTTGCTCTGTACTCATCTTGGAAGATAGGTATCTTATTTCGTATTTTTCTGTCTTATTTTCTCTCTCATTGATTTATATAACTGTTCTCCTCCATAGGCCTTTTTTGTTTATGTAAGAAAATCTTTAGAATCTTAATCTTTGAATCATGTGCATGTTGACCTTAAATCCATTAATATTGGCAAACCGTAGCATGAGAAGATAATGTAATTTGTTAAAGCATCAAAAATTTTTAAATTATTTTAAGTTCTGTAATTAACTTCATTGAGGTTGTATTTTCTAGAAGAGTTGTTTTAGCCAGGCGTATCTGGAAAAGGAAAACTTTTTTTCCCCCCACTTTAATTATGTGCCACTTAACTCTAGCCACTTAACCTTTAATTGTGACGTAATATTTTTTTTTTTCTGTGAAAATATGGCATAAGATAAGACAGCAGTTTTTTTTGTTTTCCCCACAGCGATTCTGGAGGAATTACCTAAATCAGAAGCAAGTCAGAAATGTAGCTGTGCAAAAGGATGTTTTAGTTATGGCTAGTGCAGCCACTCTGCTCCAGGCCTCCTGGCGTGCTCACTTAGAGAGGCAGAGGTATTTGGAGCTCCGGACTGCAACTATCATCATCCAGCAGAGATGGAAGGAATATTATAGACAGAGACATATGGCTGCTGTCTGCATTCAGGCAAGATGGAAAGGCTACAGGGAAAGTAAGAGGTATCAAGAACAAAGAAACAAAATCATCCTTTTGCAATCAATTTGTAGAGGATTCAGAGCAAGACAAAGGTAATCTTTGTTGCTATGATAGTTACTCCTTCTTTCTTTTGAAGTATTTTATGTCTCTGCTCCAACACTTGCCTAACTTGTATTAGAATTGGTTATGTATAATTTTGTCTTCTCTAGTAGGCCGTTATACTCCTAGCAGTTTTAACCCACATTGTGTGGTCTATAATAGAAGCCAAGTAGATGTTTATTGAATTAAATTGGATTGAAAACCTACATGGTCTATGGTTATAACTGCTAAGAGTTAACTTTTACATTCAGTTGAATCTTTAAAAATTGGCAATATTCAATTGTTTTTACCTTTAGAAACTTTAATTTCATTTTAAGGTTTATCTTAAAGATATTTTTTAATGAGAGCTTTACTTCTGTGTTAATTTATGTTTTGACTAGAATGTTGTATTAGAAATAATGCACTTAATAATCTTAATTAATTAATTAATAATCTTAATAAAATATAATCTCACTCATAGAAATGGAATTATGAAATGTGCATCCAAGTTAGCTTAAGAAGAAAAATCTGGAACTTTCCATATGTTTCTTAAATTCTCAGTAAAATGTATTTTCTCCAATAGTAAGTAGAAGATAACCTCTAACCCATTTTCCCCTGTTTTCTATAGGTTTAAAATTTTAAAAGAACAAAGACTGAAAGAAACAAAACTAGAACTTGGATTGGCAAATACTGAGCCTTCTGGAGCTCTGGAAATCCAGGGTTCAGACCCTTCAGAATGGGAGGATTGTTCCTTTGATAACAGAGTTAAAGCTATAGAGGAATGTAAGTCTGTGATAGAGAGTAATCGAATTAGCCAGGAAAGTTCAACAGACTGCTTGAAAGAGTCCCCAAACAAGCGACAGGAGAGAGCCAGAAGCCACAGTGGTGCAGACTTGCAGGAAGAAGTGATTGTCAGAGAGAGACCTAAGTCCTTGGAGGATCTCCACCAAAAAAAAGTAGGTCGGGCCAAAAGAGAAAGTCGGAGAATGAGAGAATTAGAGCAGGCTATATTTAGTTTAGAATTGTTGAAAGTTCGTTCTCTTGGTGGCGTATCTCCCTCCGAGGAACGTAGATGGTCTACAGAACTGATGCCGGAAGCCCTTCAGTCTTTACATGGTACACCTGACAGTGAAAGCTCTCAGGGAAGCTTGGAACTTCTGAGTTGTGAGGAAAGCCAGAAGAGCAAACTGGAATCCATAACTTTAGATGAAGGAGACTTGCAGCTTCAGTCACCTAAAATATCTAGCAGTCCAAAATTTGATTCGCAGAACAATGCCGTCAGTGCCTCAGGTGAGACTAACTATACTTTGATTGAAAAGGGGGCATCCTCTGACTCAGTCTATTTGAAGAATGGGACTATGAAGGAAAAACTGGTTTGCAGTTCTGAATCTATTACCTGTAAGCCACAGCTGAGAGACCCCTTTATTTCAAATAGTTTGCCTACGTTTTTTTATATCCCTCAACAAGACCCACTGAAAACAAGTTCCCAACTAGATACAAGTATCCAGAGAAACAAGCTATTAGAAACTGAAGAAACACTTTCAGCTCTCACTTCGGATATCAACAGGGAAGCCAGAATGTACCACTTTCCAGGAGAAAATCAAGTTGTTACATCTTTGAATACAGATTCTTCTAATACTGTGCTGAAGAAGTTAGAAAAGCTAAACATTGAGAAGGAAGAAAGGCAAAAGCAGTTGCAGCAGCAGAATGAAAGAGAGATGATGCAACAGATTCGTCAGCAGACAGGTATTTTAGAGAAGGAGCGTAAAGCCTTCAAGACGATTGAAAAGCCAAGAACTGGGGAGTCCTTCCTGACACCATCTTTCCATCCATCAGAGCAAAGAGCAGAGAGGCCATCCTCCCTCCTTATTCTGAATACCCTAAATAAGGAAGAGCCCAATGTAGTAGGGCCTCCATCAGTAACAGTAAAAGATGCAGCTCTTCTTCCAAAAGATAGCCCTTCTGCTCACCCACCCCAGAAGGACCGACCTGTCACCTTGTTCTTTGAAAAGAAAGGAGGCCCATGCCAGTCTGCTACTACCAAGGAATTATCCAAGACAGACAGAATATGCACCCAACTGAATGTAGCCAGTAAACTCTCTAATAATCGTATTTCAAAAAGAGAACACCACAGACCTACTCAGTCTTATAGCCACAAATCTGATGACTCCTCCAGAGATGGAAATACTAGGGTTATTTTCTTCACACCAAAGGACAATATGAGTATTTCCCTGTAAGTGAAATGCTTATTTATTTTATGTATATTAATGGGAAACTTTTTGGAGAATTTTATTAAGGTTCCTTAATCTACTTCAACTGTTTGTATGGGTGCTACTGAAATTAGCCATTTTCTCTGTGTTTAAAAAAAAAAAAATTCCCTAATCGTTGACTCTAGCAGCTACCTGAAATTGAATATAATTATACCATAGAAATCTTTGACTAATAAGCACAGATAGAGTTTTTTGGTTCCTCCTCATTAAGTGAGAAAGCATTTGTGAAGGGCAGTACAGTGCCTGTAAACACAGTAGGCATTTAGCAAATGCTGGTTGCTCTAGATCTCTGGGGTGTGGCAAGTCCAATCTTACTAGTATCAGGCTTTATTTTTTTTTTTTAATTTATTTATTTGACAGACAGAGATCACAAGCAGGCAGAGAGGCAGGCAGAGAGAGAGGAGGAAGCAGGCTCCTTGCCGAGCAGAGAGCCCGATGTGGGGCTCAATCCCAGGGCCCTGAGATCATGACCTGAGCCGAAAGCAGCGTAAGCCGCTGAGCCACCCAGGCGCCCCTAGTATCAGGCTTTAAAGTTAATGTACTTTGTCCCGGCATTTAGCCTATTTATGGTCTTAAGTATTTCATACTATTTTTGTGTGGTAAAAAAAAACACAAAAAATTTAATTTACCATCTTAACCATTCTTAATTGTACAAGACAGTAGTGTTAACTATATGCATATTGTTGTGCAGTGGATCTCTAGAACTTTTTCATATTGCAAAAGAAACTCTTATTACCCATCAAACAGTTATACTCCTTTCTCCTTACTCGAAGCTCCTAGCAACTGTCATTCTACTTTCTAAGAGTTAAACTACTTAAACAGATGGCTTATATAAGTGGAAGTTCTTTATACTTTTAAGTTTTCTTAACCAGTGGTCACCATGAGAAAAGCACTTTTTAGGCGGAACATAAAAGCAAAGATGATAAAATTTAAGAAATTTGTATTAAGTCTTTGTATACAGTGGATTCTCTCAGTTCTTATGGGAAAATGTCAATGTTTAAGTAAAAGGAGGGTATATATCTTAGAGATAAAAAATTAAATTTCACATTTACTGTGGAAAATAACCTTTTCTCTCTTATAGTTTGAGCTTTTAATCTTTCAGTCTTTAAAATTATGTACAGAGTTTATAGACCCTTTGTAAATACAAGCAAGAGATCATTGATATTTTCCATCAGGGATTTTTGTATGGTGTTATGAGATGCAGTTGGACTAAATGACAGCTTGAGATCCTATGCTTGCCCATTAACCTAGAGATTGCCCCAAAATTCAAAGACCTTATGTAGCATATATAAGCCCATCAGAGTGTTAAAAGTATTATTTCCTATGATTCTGATGAAGTTTAGTGATGGGAGGTATGTGTTTGTGTTGTATGTGTATGTGTAGCTGTTGGATCCATGAATGTGTTCTATAGAAGGCATACTTACAGATTTCAAAAACATTAATATTTTTGTGAATTCTTGCAAACGTCTTTTATCATTTTCCAAGATAAACAGTCTTAGGGCTACTTGATCTAGTTTGCTTTTACCCCATTAAGATCTACTTATCTTCAAAATTATTATATATTAGGTTATGTCAAAGCTTATGTAACATTCATACTTAAAATCTTCTTGTTGCATTTTATAGAATCGTAAATGTTGGTGTTTCTCAGTTATTTTTTCCAGCTCGCACATATTATAAATGAGATCACTGAAGCCTGCAGAGGTGAAATGACTTGTTCAAGGTCGCATACTAAGAAATTGCAGGGAATAGAACTTGAGTTTCATGATTAGGAATCACTGTTGAGTTTCATGATTAGGAAGTAATGTTAGTGTTAGTGTTCTTTCTATGCCACAGATAAGTGTATAGTGGTCTTCATCTGTTTAATGAAGGAGAACAAAAGAGAAATCATGGAGAAATCTAAAGAAAATGCTGTGAGTTTAAAATTTGGCGAGGGTTGTCAGGTACCGTCAAAGGTCCTGTTATTTCCTTCTCTTTAGAACAAAGCAGATAGGCTCAGCTGGGTAAGAGATTTTAATAAAAGGGAATCTTTTAGGATAGCCTGGGATTGCTAGGCTTAATCATACCTTGGTCAAAAAGGGAGATCTCTGAGAAGACGTTAGCTAGCAAAGACTGCCATCTATTTAGGTTTGTTTTAGGAGTCGTTGCATAGAGCGAAGGACAGGATAACCTCTTACAGCCCCTAGGTCTTCATTTGTAAAAATTCAGTGGAAGATTTTGAATGACAGAGCCATTAGTCTGCTAACTTGTATAACAAGTTAGTGTCTACTTTAAACCCAGCAGTATGCTAAAAGGTAAGGTATGATTCTTAGTGAGCTTATAGTTCTGCTAAGGAGAGATTAGCAGTATGTTATTGATATAACTATAACATATAACTCATGCTACTGAGTTAATATAGGTAATTGGGACCATGGAAGTTTTGGTTTCGATTCACAGTTTCATCAGATATCCATTTCTACATAGAATTTAATGATAAAATAGTCACATTGTGTGGTTATTCAAGCAAAATTAAGTTTCCACTAGGTAATATCTCTGTATGGCATACCTCCTTTAACTTGATAACAATTTGTTATCTTGCTAGTTTTGATTTTGTTCTGTATAACAAAGTTTTAAAACTAATATAGTAGATGAAAGCTGAAGAGAGGTGTCAGAAGATTTGCTAGCCAATTGGAACCATCTCAGTATAAAACAAAGTAATGGGACCTATATCACTTGATAGCTACTTATCAGGTATTTTATAATGATTAGAATAAAAGGTCCCTTCTAAGACTATAAGATTTGGGGATGTGACGTTTTCCCTTACCATCAAATCCATTTGTTTTCCTGAGCTAATTCTGCTGCTACTAGTCTTAAACATAGGTCATAGTGGAATATACCCAGTGATTATCAGGAACAGGCCTCTAGTAATCCAGTCACATATGTCAGTTCTTGATAATACTATTAATAAGGTAAGCAGAAAAAAAACGGATATGTTGTTTTGGGAATTGAATAAAGTCTGGAAGTATTTAATGTAATTTGCTAGAATTCTTTGATTTGTCTTGTTAGGCTATATTTCATGCTGTACTTTAAGACTGCTGCCATGGGATGTCTGCTAAGAATTGAATTATAATCCTGTTATTTATTATCCTTAGTGTCAACAAGGAAGCCTTAAACAGTGGAAATCCTCAACTCTGTAAACAAGATGAACCAAATTGGAAACCTGTGAAGTTAACTGGGCCGGGCAAAGGAGAGGTAAGTATTTAACTTTATCTATCTTTTATGCAAAATAGATGCACCTGTTTTGGAAATTATTATTCTAGGTAAAACACCTCATTTATGCAGTTACTCCCAAGTGTTTATTCGAAAGAAGCCATGAGTTAAGTCTGTTATAAACTTAGGGAGGTGTACTTCAGGGAAGGAATGTTGACTAAAATCCCAGATTATGTTTACAAAATAGATGTTGCTTACAAAAAGAAGGCAATTTATGCAAGTGGCTTTGGTGATACATCACGGCAGTGAAAGCTGATTTCCTTGGCTATAGAGAACAGTGTAGATTTGGCTTCCATTTTGTCCTTTGTCCAGAGTAATGTATATAGATTGCTTTTGGTTATCTCTGTCACTTCTTGTAGAAAGGACACTGCAAGCTGGGTGGAGGGATGTTTCAAGAAATTCATGACCTCTCTGTCTTTCATTGGCATCATCTCCCAAAAAACCAAAACAAAACATTGTTATGTTATTTGTTTTATCATTTGGTCAAGCAGGTTGCCAGACCGGCCCATAAAAAGAAAGCTCGAATGGCGCGGACGCGCTCCGATTTCTTGACTAGAGGTACTTTTGCCGATGGGGAGGGGGATACAGAGGAAGATGATTACGATGACATTATTGAGCCCCTTCTCTCCCTTGACCAAGCTTCTCACTCTGAGCTAGGGCTTGCACCCAGCCTGGGTCAGGCCTCTCACAGTGACTCCGAAATGGTAATTTTACAGCAATATAAGAAAAATAGGCACAAACAAATCTGATGGGAATAGTGAATAGCCTTTGCTAATCTAAAGCTAACCTTCACAGCTTCTTCCTCGTATAGTGGTTTGTACATGGGAAACCTCAGTGAACACAGCAACAAAGCTAAACTTTAATTTATTAGGACTCAGATAAAGGGCACTTTAACAGTGTATGTCAAATCATAAATTAGGGAAAATTAAGGTTATTTAAGTTAGCACTAAGGTAGAGATTTTCTGTTCTATCTTAAAAGGTCTAGAGTAGGGGCCCTCACACTTTTTTCTGTAAAGGACCAGATAGTAAATGTTTTAGATTTTGTGGGTCCTTTAGTTTCTGTTGCAACTATTTAACTTGCCACTGTAGAGCGAAAACAGCCATAGACATAAGAAAACAAATGGGCAAGGCTTTGTTCCAATAAAACTATTTACAAAAACAGGCAGCGGGCTGTATTTGATATTTTGGCCATAGTTTGCTCATTGATCCTTTGTCTAGTGAATAGGCTACATGTTAAATAATCTAGTTGCTTTTAACTGAAATGGTAATATCTTTTCCTTTTTTTGTTTTTTTGTTTTTGCCTTTAAGCTTGCTTTGTCTCCCCCATTTTTAGTACTAGAAAATAAACATGAATTTAAAAAAATTTTAATGAGCCATGCCAAAAATGTTTTCTTGGACCAACCTACCCAGGTAGAAGGCTGTATGTATTATGAATTTATATTGATCAAAAATTACAACATTGGAGTTATATTTGAATAAGGCTGCACTTAGTCATAATATTTGACTAAGAATATAACTTTATGATCATATTGCAACCAAAATTAGGAATATATAGTTTGGCAAGTGTGAATGTATTTATGGATATAAAATGTTTGATTTTTGGAATTGTCCTGAAAAATACACAATATAAGGACTCTGTATGTCTAATTTATACTACATATACAAACATTATCATTGATCAAGTGGAGTGATATATGCATTTTATTTCCATTCATATCCTGAAGTTGGATTTCTAACGTTCTTCTTTAGTATCTTCATTATGGTAGGAAAGTTCTCGGTTTGTCTTCTTTTGTCATTAAGCATATTATCTTTGAACTGTTTTAAACTGTTTGTTAAACAGTTTAAATAGGACCAAAGAATTAAACTTTCTGCCAATTTCTAGAATATCTTTATTGTCTTTATCTTCTGTTAGAAATATCGTTTTTAAATGATAATATTGATATTCTAAGAAAAAGAAAAAATAAAAACAGAAAATGTATGACAGGTTCTCTAATTAGATAAATGAATTATTTGAGCTAAACTCTAGGACTGTAAAGATTGGAAATAATCTGTATATCCATTAAGATATGTAATTAGAGCCAAAGTGTAGGTTAAAATAACTCCATTTTGGAAGTGCCCTGTTTTTGAGTTATAAATAATGAAACATATTCTACCATAGGATTAGTAGTTAAAGATGAAATTATATTATGGAAAACTAATTTAATGAAAAGTATTGCTTTTTTAGTGTAGATAGGGAGCATACTTAAATTATTCTCTAAAGTATACATAGATTTTTCATTCATGGAAGAACTTAACATTTGTAATTGCTGTTTTGTTCCTGAGAGTTTTCTTTGTTACAAACCTTAGTCCTTTTGGTGGTAGAATTCTTCCTCACTGTGAAAACTCTTAATGAGGTGAACCAGAAGTTGGGCTTTCTGCTTGGAGCATTCTGCCCCTTAAAGGGTTCTAGCTGGTAGCCTCTGCCTGTGATTCTGTTCACCTGCTTGACGGTCACCGCATGCCCGTAGTTGTAGAGCACTCTGCCTCCCTGCACAGTGAATATAGTCTCTTCTCCAGCTCTCTTGCTGTCCTTCTGTTTCGTCACTAGCTATTTTAGGAACAGGTGGTGGTGTTTGTTTCTGGTGGACACTTGCATGAAGAAGCTTTGCTTTCTAGAATATGCTGATAGATACTTATTGGGGATGGGGGTGGAAAGGGTAGGAACAGTTTAAAGTGTTTCTATTTGTTTATCTTGAAAATTTGCCATGTTCTAATGTTCTCTGATATTGTAAAGACTGATTGATTGTAAATGGGATTTACTGAATTGTCAAAAAATCCAAATATCTCTAGAATTTTAAATACACTTGATTTTCTAGGCACATGGATTTTTAAAAACTTAGTTTTGTGTGTGTGTGTGTGTGTGTGTGTGTGTGTGTTTTTATTTTTGTTTCTGTTTTTTTCTGGACAAAGTGATCCTGTCACTCTGACATTTGCTAAAAAGAGTGTTACTCAGTTTTGGAAGAAGCCATCCGACCTTTCCATTTGTGAAATAACTGATCTAATGGGATAAAGACAGTCCTATATGAATTACCTGAAGAGGATTCCCTAAGCATTACTTCCTGGATTTATCAGTCATTAATTGGTTGTTACCTGATAGGAGGAGTAGAGACAAGAGTAGTAGCTTCCTTCCTTATGACTTTGGTATTTTGTTTTAACTTTCTGCCTTTAATTCTGCCATTTGAATAACTTCAGTCTCCAAATGCTGCTCTCACTCAGTTCCTCCATCCACTCTGTTGGCTTTTACTCAAGAATAATGACATGTTCTGCCACGTAATATTTTTAAGGTGGTTTTCATATAGCTTTTTAGTCTCTCAGTATTTTGGATGGTAAGTGAGTTAGTCACATCATTTCTTTTCCTTATTAGTAGAACTGGTATAGGTAACATTATAGTTTCCTCTTTTATCCTTGGACAATCATCTCCATGGGCATGACTCCCAAGTAGCTCTCCAAAATTTGTCTTCTTTATCTCCAGTATGAAAAATTTCTCATTTTATTCCCAAACTGCTGTCACTTCTTATGTTCCTGTTTGTGTTTGTTATTATCTGAAATATTCTCCAATCCTTATCAGTGTTGAATTTTCCTTCTCTCCACTGCTCACTCCACAAAAAACTGCCCAAAAAACCTGTTGATTGAACAAGACTTAAGTTTTTTTAGCTTGTTTTACATAAAGTAAAGGAAAATCTACTTTGACTAGGTTTTAGGAATTTCTCAGGAAGGGGAAGCCAGAAGAGGATGTTTATAGAATTTTAGAATCTGTACCGGTAATTTTGAGATGGTTCTTGCAAATTGGAAATCTGGTTGATATTGAACAGAGTTTATGACATAAAAGGTTTGTATTGGTAGTCCCAATGTAGCAGCTATACTGTTGCATACACTTAGTATTTATCTATCTATTTATTTATTATTAATTAATTTCTTTTAAAAAGATTTTATTTATTTATTTGAGAGAGGGAGAGAGAGCACAAGCAGAGAGAGGCAGAAGGAGAGAGACAAGCAGACTCTGCTGAGCGGGGAGTTCAACATAGGGCTTGAACCAGGACTCTGAGATTATGACCTGAGCTGAAGTCAGGTGCTTAACTGACAGAGCCACCCAGGTGCCCCTACACTTGATATTTATATGTGTTTTATTGTTCCCCAAAAGGTTAGGGTTGGTTTATAGCATCACAACTCTCTGCACTTAAAGCTTTGGTAGAATTTCCCCGTGAAACCATCTGGGACTTTTTTTGTGGCATAATTCCTTGATAATTAACTGTATTTCTTATAGAGAAATTAGTCTTGTAAGCTTTCTGTCTAATAGAGCCAATTTTGGTAAATAGTTTTTTCTTATGGAATTATTAATTTCATCTAAATTTCAGATGTATTTGCATTGAAGTCTGGAAATTAGTCTTATGTTCTTTAAAAATTCTGTTTCAGTGGTTATTTCCCTTCTGTCATTTCATATTTTGTAAATTTGTGTTTTTTCCTTTTTTTCTTTAGGTTAGCTAATCACTTGTCTCTGTTTTTACTTTTTTCCAAAATAATAGGATTTTGATTTATTTATTATCCCTAGTTTCCCCTACCCCCATTCTCCACTGAATTTTGCTTTTACCTTTGTTATTTATTTCCTTATTTTTAAAAAATTTCCTTATTTTTAATTTCTTATTTTTCTAAATTCTTATTTCTAAATTTCTTATTTTTCTACCTTTTAAGTGGGGGAATTTAATTCATTTATTTAAGTTATTTTTATTGATACAGGTTTTTAAGGCTGAATTTTCTACTGACCATTACTTTAGTTGTATCTTGTTTATTCCAATGTGTATTAAGTTTTTAATTATTTTTTGAGAAAATCGGTAATTTCAGTTTATATTATTTTTTGTCCAAACCTTGTTCAATAAAAATCTTTTTGTTTTCAGAGGAAGGACATTTTTATTTTTTAACTTTTTAAAATTTCTGGTTTAACTGTGTTATGATGAAAGAGTATTTATAATGATTTATAATGATCAAATTTCCTCATCATTTTCTTTGTTAATAATATGTGGTCAGTTTCTGAGAAAGTACCATGTGCATTTTTTAAGTAGGTATATTCTGTATTCAGAATGTAAAATTTCAGTATATAACCATAATCTCTTCCTTAGTGATTATGTTGTCTTCTGTATCCTTACTATTTTTTGTACCATTTGATCAGTATTGTATAGAGAATGTTTTATAGTTTACTCTTCTTTCTGAATTGTGGCTTTGTTATATTAAGTGCTTTTGCTTGAATTTTACTTAAATCGTAATATCACAGTCTGTGCTTTCTTAATTATTTCCATTTGCCTGGAATACTTTTTCTCGTCCTTTTTTTTTTTTTAGCCTTTCTGGATCCTTTTGTTTTAGATGTGTGTTTGTATGCAGTATAGTTGGTTCCTACTTTGTGAGCCAAATTTTTTGCCTTACAGATGCCTTATAGATGAGTTAAACCTATTCCTATTTATTTATATAACTGATAGATGCAGTCTCAATTATCTTTCTTAATAATCTTATGTTATTATTTTGTGTTATGTTAAATTTGCTGTGTTTATGTTACTTTTTTGCTGTTTCACTTTTTATTTTTTTTTTATTTTTATTTTTTAAGATTTTTATTTATTTATTTGACAGAGAGAGATCACAAGTAGACGGAGAGGCAGGCAGAGAGAGAGAGAGAGGAGGAAGCAGGCTTCTTGCTGAGCAGAGAGCCCGATGTGGGACTCGATCCCAGGACCCTGAGATCATGACCTGAGCCGAAGGCAGCGGCTTAACCCACTGAGCCACCCAGGCGCCCCGCTGTTTCACTTTTTAAAATTTCTTTTGATATGGGGGTTTCTTTTTCTGTTGGTTTGTAGATGACTTTTAAAAATGCCTTAATTTACTGTATTTTAATTTAACCAGTTATTCTCAAGTTAGTCATTTATAATAATATTTTTAAATTCTCACCTATTTTGACACAACTATTGATGAATTATTCTTGTCTTTACTTTCCCTCTCCCTTCTTTTTTTAGGCTTTTATTTATAATTTGTCAGCACATACAATTTTACATATTCTTTTGCATATTCTCATATATATCAATTCTGGTTTTGCCTTATGTTTGAAACACTTTCATAGATTGCAGTTTTAAATACTGTGTCCCATTATTTTGTTTTTCTTGTTTAGGGAATCCAATTATAAATAAGTTTTTTTCTTCTTTTTCTGTCTTCCATCTCAACCATGTTCTTTCTGATTCTTTTTTACTCATTTCTTTATACTTTCTATTCTTTATTATCTTTATTTGTTTATTATCTTTCTGCCTTTTAAATCTGCATTTGCATTTTTTCTCCCTTGGGCATCTTCTAAGTTATTCTTCACTATCTTTTTATTTCTTTCGTGAGTTCATTCAACTACCTTCATTGCTTCCTGGTTTTTATTGAGGTGGGGGGAGCTCATTTCTATTTTTAATTTTTGAATTTTTGATTCATTGTGGTGTTTCATGTATATGAGGTTATTTAATTCATTTTTACTTTACAGTTCCTGCTTCATGCTTGGTTTCTGTATGTTTGGTGGGAGATGGGTTATCATCTAAGTTGTTTTGGTTCTAATTTTCTTTGTTTTCTTATTGTAGCTTGTGTAGATTTTGTCTTTATTCATGTTGTGCATTTGGGATAGTTTATAAGTAACTTGATTTCAAGAGCTTCCTCTTTTGTCAGTGTAAAAATGAAAAGGTTTTTTGCAGGCATCCTGTTTGGAGTCTGTTAGTTATATGTGTGCATGTGTGTTGGAGGCAATGTTGTGTCCTCCATTTTTTGCTTCTGTTTTGCCTTGTTAGATTCTAAATATTCCTCTTCTGCTTCTTTTCTTCACTACTCAATCTGTAAAAGGCACCCCTTTGTTCCTTTTTACCTTCATTTTCCTCAGAAGCAGTGCCTTTAAAAATATGTCAGCTTGAATCACATGCAATTTTAAGTTCTTTCCCTTTAGTTAGTTCTCTGATCTCCTAGTGCTCAATATTTGTGTCAGTTTTGAGTCACTATAAATGGATTGACTTTTTCTCCTCCTTGTCAGTAATATATTGTTATTTCTTTGCATGCCTCCTTATTTATTATTGGATGCCTGACATTGTAGATTTTGTCTTGTTGGGTACTGTGGATACATTTGTATCTGATTAATATTCTTGAGACTGTTACGTTCCAGTAATATTTCAGAGCTTGATTATGGAAGGAGTTTGCTCCTAAGGATTTGTTAGTCTCATTGTATTGAATGCTGGAAATTTTCTAAGAGAGTAGATTTCAGGTGCTCTCACCACCGAAGAAGAAGAAGAAGAAGAAGAAGAAGAAGAAAGGTGGGAGGGTAGGGTGGGGAGAAAGAAAGAAACAATGGGAAGAGATCTGTTAATCAGTCTGCAGTAATCATTTTAATATTTATATGTAAATAAAATCATTTTTTATACTTTATATACAGTTTTTATTGAATTAAACTTAAGATTTGTTAGGTCCAAACAGAGCAGTTTTTCACCTAGGGCTTATTTTTGACTATCACTTATTCTTGACTACTGAGGCAAGATCCTGCTATATACTTCACCCAGTACCCTGGGAATCATAAAGTTATATGTTCTGACTTGGGCACAGGACCGTTACTGGTTTTTGGTAAGTGCTGGGCACTATTACCTTTAATCCTTTCAGGTGGTCCTTTGCCTGACCTTTGGGTAGTTTTCTGACATAGAAGTGTTGATTAGTACTCAGCTAAATACCCTCTGAAGATCTCCACAGCTTTTTATTTGTGTATCTCTTTCCTCTTCAGTTCTCTCTCTCTCTCTCTCTCTCTCTCTCTCTCTCAGTCTCAGTCTCTCTGGACTTTGAACTTGATGTGTTCAGCTCAGAGAGTCTGCCAGGGTTCTCCTGGAACCCTCTCTCTGTGTCACAGTTTGGAAACTGTCTCAAGGTACTAAGCTGGGGCAGATGAAGGACTCACTTCTTTTGTTTCCCATCTCCTGAGAATAATTGCCCATCATCTTGATAACTGTTAGTTCTTACTATTTTGTCTGGGTTTCTGTTTTGGTTTTGGTTTTGGTTGTTTCAGGCATGAGGATAAAACTGGTCCCTGTTGCAGCAGATTAAAAGGCTAAAGAAAAGATACTATAATTATAGAAAAATGAAATATTAGGAAAGGATTTGAATAGGTAACAAGAAATTTTCTCTTCTGAATGGGATTTTCCTTAAAGGGGCACATTGTAAATAAATGGAACAAGAATTGCCCATTGAAATTCAGTTCCCAGTTTGATAAAGTCATGTAAGTTGTTTATAGTTTAGACCATTAGTGATGATAATGTTTGATCCTTTGTGTTTTTTTTTCCTTTCTTAAATCCTTGACTAGGTATAATAAAAGTCTACAGTAGCAAGTTAGATCATAAAAGTAATTACTACCTGTAGGGACACATAAAAGGACGCATGAAAGACTATACTTCATATTCTAGATTTATCAGATTCTGGATCTTTTGTCTGTATGTTTAGGTGGCTTTGACCTTTTTTCTTACCTTTCCACTTGATATTGTTAAGTTGTAAGAAAACGTGAACTCTGGTAGGTCCTGTTCAGCATTTCATTGACCCAAGTTCTCTTTATATCAGATTATTCTAGGAAGTTAATAAAATTTTTAGTAGGTTCTTTTATTTTATTGTGGCTGAACAATATGAACGTAGTTTTATGTATTTTTAATAGATGTAATTTTCATTCTGTAACTTGAGTTTTAATTACAGTATTATATGGTTACTTGGCTTTAAAGTCTTTCATATATGTAATTATTACAGACGTCACAGCGATTTTCTTCAGTTGATGAAGAAGCAAAGCTTCATAAGACTATGTCTCAAGGAGAGATTACAAAATTGGCAGTGAGGCAGAAAGCTTCAGATTCGGATATAAGGTATCATTTGAAATTCATTTTTCAACAAATATTAAGTACCTACTCTATGACCAGCACATGATAATTCAGATTTACATGATGCGCTTTATCTTTCCATGTATTTAGCAGTGTGATTTGGGTAAAGTCTTTAAATCATTGTATCACTTGTGGTTTTTTGTTGTAAGAGAATAGAGATTGAATCAAATGAGAGTGAAAATATTTCCCAGCTTTGGATTTGTATTCTGTTCTGAGTTAAATGTTTTACAAATGGAACTGGAAAAAAGACTTTCAGGAAATAATACTGTTCCCTTCAAGAGAGTATATGGAGTTATTATTTGTCAGGTAAATATCTCTGTCTGTTATTGTGTTATATAAGGCAGTTGAACCCTCACTGAACACTTGAAGATGAAGCTGAAATCTTTCTGGACCTATTAAAGGCCATTTCCTCAATGTCTGTAGAGGCATAATCCATGATAATGCAAATCCAGACCAGATTATGCTAGAGATCAACTTTTGGGAGAAAGATACACCATAGCACAAAAGATAAATGTCTGGAGATAGCAGATTAAATATATGAATTTAATTTCTACTTCCTCCTCCAGAATTGCTAAAATGACAAAACTTATGTAGAGCAAACAACAAACAGACAATTGGAGACAACTGTAATAAAACTGTGGACTCCAAAAAGTAAATAGACAAATTTTAAATGTCTTAATAGGTAGAAGAAAGCTGAATCCTAAACCAACTGGGTAAACCTGAGTAAGAAACATCTGGCTGACTGATCTTCCCCAATCCTAGCAGAAACCTAGAGATTTATTCTCTGAAAAGGATAAAATAGAAGATCTCTGTTCTTGGAGGTTCTCTGATACATTCGAGGATTTGGGTACATATTTGAAATAAGGAGATTTAATTAATGTTTACATACTGAATGTTAAGATTCCCCTAATTTTTTCTTCCACTCAGTTTCCACATTTCATGTTTCCCTAGGCAGTTGGTTCAAAAAGTCTTTGGGACTTTTGTACAACCCCCAAGGGAAGACCTAGAGATATTTGTATCAAGGGTTCTCCCTACAAAATGGACTAGCCAGAAAATCATACAAGGAAAACGAGTTTGGAAGCTCCACCAATGCATACTTGAATTTCCAAACAGTGTTTTGTTTTGTTTTTTAACCCTACTTTTACCACATTTGAAGAAACACCTTACAAAAGAAACTAAAACTAATGGATATATTACAACTTGGAAGAAATGAACTATGCAGGGGAAGGAAAACTTCCAGACAGACAAGTGAAACTAATCAACAGACCTTCTGCATAAATAAATATAACTGCATGAAAGAAAAACATTCATTATAAAAAGAGTCTTAATTAAAGGGTCTTAATTAAAAGTATGATAGCATGAAGAAACAACTAGAATAGTTGAAAAGAAAGTTGAGGACATACCTTAGAAGGTTGAGCAAAAAGATAAGAGATGGAAGAGACAAGAAAAGATACGAAAATTGATTTAGGTAGTATAGACATTTAATAATATTTGATCTTCCCATCCATGAGCATGGAATGTCTTTGTGTCATCTTCAGTTTTTTTTTCATAAGTTCTTTTTATAGTTTCAGAATAGAGATCTTTCACCTCTTTGATTAAGTTTATTCCTAGGTAGCTTATTGTTTTAGGTGCAACTGGAAATGGGATTGATTCCTTAATTTCTCTTTCTGCTGCTTCATTACTGGTATATAGAAATGCAACAGATTTCTGTACATCTTATATCCCTTGACTTCACTGAATTTGTTAGTTCTCTCTGAGATAAGGTACTTGAAAATTACATATCTGATGAAGAGTTAGTATCTAAAATATATAAAGAACTTATAAAACTCAACAGTCAAAAAATGAATAATCCAGTTGAAAAATGGGCAGGAGACATGAATAGACATTTTTCCAAAGAAGACATAGAGATGGCCAACAGATACATGAAAAGATTCTCAACATCACTGATCACAGGGAAATATAAATCAAGCTACAGTGAGATATCTTAACACCTGTCAGAAAGGCTAAAATCAACAACATAGGAAGCAACAGGTATTGCCGAGAATGTAGAGAAGGGGGGACCCTCTTACACTGCTAGTGAAAATGGAGACTGGTGGAACTACTCTGGAAAACAGTATCAAGAAAGTTAAAAATAGAACTACCCTACAACCCAGCATTTGCACTACTGGGTATTTACCCAAAGGTTACTAAAATATTGATTTGAAGGGATACATACACCCTGATGTTTACAGCAGCATTATCTACAATAGCCAAATTATGGAAACAGCCTAAGTGTCCATAGACTGACAAATGGATAAAGAAGATGTGATATGTATGTATGTGTGTGTGTTTATAGTGGAATATTACTCAGCCATCAAAAAAAGAATGAAATCCTGCCATTTGCAATGATGTGGATGGAGCTAGAAGATACTGTGCTAATAAGCAAAATGAGTCCAAGAAAGACAAATGTGACTCATATATTGAATTTAAGAAAGAAAACAAATGAGCAAAGGGGAGAAAGAGAGGAAGAGAGACAAACTAAGAAACAGACTCTTAATTATAGAAAACTGTTGGGTCCCAGAGGGGAGGTGGGTAGGGGATGGTTGAAATAGGTGATGGGGATGAAGGCGTGCACTTGTGATGAGCAACAGGTGTTGTATGGAAGTGTTGAATCACCATATTGTACACCTGAAACTAATATTACACTGTATGTTAACTGGAATTTAAATACAAAAAGATAAGAGTAGCAGTTCAGGAGATCCAGTGAGCCACTAATGGGAGATCCAGAAAGAACAAAGAAAACAAGGAGGACAGATCATTAATAAGGTAATTCAAATAAGTTTTATAGAACTGAAGGACATGAGTTTCCAGATTCAAAGGGCCCAGTGATTGCCCAATATAATGGATGGAGACAGACCCATACTAAAAGACATTTTATTATAAAACAATAGAGACAAAAGGAATTCCCATGATGATGGAAAGTAGCTTTTCAAGTGATGGTTGTATAACCAGCACTGAGGGAAACCATGCCTGTTGGAGCAGGCTGGAAAGCTCTGGGAGAGATTTCTTAAAGAAATGGAGTCCCTATTTTGTTTGAACATGTTGAAAGGAGATGCACACAAGTAGGGAAACATTTCAAGGTGAATTGTATGTAGATAAATGAGCAAATGTAAAGCAAAACACTTATTAACTCTAGAAAAAAACACATGATGCAGGGAACTGCATGCCTCAGTTGTGATTATTATTTGCATAATAAAATAGTGACTAACTGTAAGAAAATACTATATATTGAGATAACTCAAATTATCATTTGATTCTTTTGGGGGTACACCCGTTTTTTTGGAGGGTGGAGAACAGAAGTCTTGGAACATGCTTAATCATTACTTGTATTTGCAAGTATGACAGCAATGTAAGTATGGTAAATATTTAAAAGTCAGTTAAATCAATTCATCAGGCTTGCCTCCAGGGAGCAGAAAAGGAATGACGGGTGTCTGGGTGGCTCAGTGGTTAAACGTCTGCCTTTGGCTCAGGTTGTGATCCCAGGGTCCTGGGATTGAGCCTCACGTTGGGCTCCCTGCTCAGCAGGAAGCCTGCTTCTTCCTCTCCCACTCTCCCCTGCTTGTGTTCTCTCCCTCTCTTGCTGTGTCTCTCTCTGTCAAATAAATAAACAAAATCTTAAAAAAAAAAAAAAAAGAAAAGGAATGAGAATGGCAGAAGGATGCTGTCATTTGTAGTAACCCTTGTAGAATAACTTTTCTTTATACTCTTAAGATGTGTAAGTGTAGTAATAGGCTTAAAAAGAATGATGGAAAAAAGGATGTGGGTTTCAAAATCAGACCTGATTTTACCTTCCAGCTTTATCAGCCATCCAAGCTTCAGTTTGCTCATGTGTAAAAATAAGAATAATAAAAGCTATTTACCATAGTAGGCATGAAAATAAGGTATAAAGGGATAGTGCCTGGCTCCTGGTAGATGCTCATGTTTTCTTTGATCTGACTGAGTGCATATACAAAGAAAAAAACAAATGGACAAATAAGCTCCTAGTATAGGGTTAGGATACATGATATATGGTCAGTTATGTGAACTGTCATTATTATCTTTTTTTTTTTTTTTTTTTAGATTTTTATTTATTTATTTGACAGAGATCACAATAGGCAGAGAGAGAGGAGGAAGCAGGCTCCTTGCTGAGCAGAGAGCCTGATGCGGGGCTCGATCCCAGGACCCTGGGATCATGACCTGAGCCGAAGGCAGAGGCTTTAACCCACTGAGCCACCCAGGCGCCCTGTCATTATTATCTTAAGGTGGTTTTTTGGTTTCTTTATTGGGAGAGAGTATATAAACACTAAAAATGAGGCCGTATAGCAAAGTAGTTAGGCATTTTCAGCTTTGTCACTCACTCTGTAATTTTGGGAAAGTTACCTAATGTTTAAGCTTCCAGGTATATAATGGTTATAGTAGTTTGAAAGTAAACTTGTTTTTATAAATAAATTAAGGTAAGCCAATGTAAGCACTTGTGTCTGGAGCAAAATAACGACTCAAATAAATGGTGGCCTTTGTTAATAAATAATATTGATAACCTCTAAATATAAAATAGTCAAATTAAAACCGTTACAATTGTAAGTGGGAAGATTTAAAATTATATCTTCATCGTGATTACAGTGATATAAGAATGGGCATACTTAAGGATAAAGAATGGAAGGAAATTACTCCTCCCCAAAAAGGTAAACAAATATGTATTAGAGTGATAGGCTATCAGTGATGTTTTAAAAAGTATTTTCTTTGTTATTAAGTTGTTTATATGCAAAGTCCAAGCTGGAAAGAGGACAAGAGTGAAAAGATAGCAGTTTAGGAATCAGAAAACCTGAGTTGGAATTCTAGTTTCACTGGTTTTTAGCCATTTTATTTTGGGGAATTATTTACCATCTCTGGGACTTACTATTTCTTGTATTCAAGACGAGAAAACCGTCTCCCTTCCAGATTGAAATTTAAACGTGAATTTGAAAATTAAATATGATTAAACTTAAGTGTGAAGGTTAAATGAAGTAACACATATGAAAGGTCTTTATATAGCTCAAAGTGATGTACAAATATTGTCACTGCAACATACTAATTTCCATTTTTACCTTTATTTTTAAAAATAGACCTCAGAGAGCTAAGATGAGATTCTGGGCCAAAGGGAAACAAGGGGAGAAGAAGACTACCCGAATGAAAGCTGCCACCCAGTCAGAGGTTTTGGGATTCTTTGCTGGCTCAGATACGATTCTATCTCATCAGTTTCCAGATGGTAAAAATGGACAAAGAATGGAGATTGTCTTTATAATTTATTCACTCTTTCTGTTCACTCTTTCTTATTCCTCTAGTGTTTGCAGTGGCAATCCTGTTGGCCAGATAGTGTAATGAAATAGGATCAGAGTTGTAAAATCTCTCCTTAAATAAAAGATAATTATAAAATTACATTGTGTAGAAGTTCCAAGGAAGTGTGGTGCAAAATGGTGAAGCAACAACTTTAAGAATGATAGTGAATCTTCAGTTAGTCTCAGTTTTCTAATGTGTAAAAATTTAGCTGTCATTCATTCACTTAACAAATATGTATTATTAGTAAAAATTAAGATAATAGCAGCTAAGTGCTTAGCATGTGCAAGACTCTGTACTAAGCATGTTGTATGTATTAATTTTTCATTACAATTTTGGGGGGTTGGTATGATTATTATTCCCAGTTTATAGATGAGAAAGCTGAAGCATAGAGAAGTTATCTCCTTACACACAGTAGTTGGCAGAGCTGAGATGTGAAGTTAGGTAACCTAGCTCCAGAGGCCACATTCTTAACCACTGTGCTATATTTTAAGTACCTACTATGTATCAAGTATTTGCTATACTATACTGACTTTATAATTGTAGCTGTCATTTTAATTTGGGGGTCATCAATCATAACGCACTTGAACATACCCAATAGTTAGTTCATCTATTGAGAAAACTGGCCTTTCTCAATGCTAGAATTACTAATGCTCTAAGGATTCCAGTAATTCCAGCATTAGGTGATTATGCCATTTTCCTCAACCCTTTGCACAAGCATGTATGAGAGTTTTTAATCGTTATGCAAAGATGCCAGCTATCTTCAACAGTAATGGGATGGATAAATACCAGAGGTGGGTGTGTGGTAATGAGTGGGTGAAATACCAGTAGGTAGGTGAATAAGATAAAAAGTAGATCTAGGAAGAAAGTTATCTCTAAAGGAAAGATAGAACAGGTCCAGTTACAATAAATAAACAAAACTTCTCATACCTAGGATAACACAAAGGGGCAAGGAGAATAAGATTAACAAGTTTCACATAGGAATGAATGAGCCAAAGCAGAGGCACCCATGTGTCAGAGAAAAAAATGGTAGACCTATAGTTAGAGCCCTGTTTTTGTGTCTTTTGTGGCTTTGCATCTATGAGTTGGCAAACTGATAGGGTTAAAAATCAATAGTAAATTAAGTGAATACTACAAGTTCAGTTTGGAAATTTGGGAAATCCTTACCATTGCATTACTAAGAGGATCAATTTCCTATATCTAATCTGGTTTATAGTAATCATTCTAAATTTTTCATTTTTCACAGTTCTGTTCTCCATGGTTATTTTTAAGAAGGAAGCATGAAGCTCTTTAGCTGAAGCTCGTATTATTAGTAGACTTCATTGTGTGTTGCTTTATAAGGAGATATATATATATATATATAGAGAGAGAGAGAGAGAGAGAGAGAGAGATTGTAGCTTCTTATTCATCTTTGGGTAGTAATTTATTAAGTTATCCCTTGTTTTTAATACTGAAACAGTGTTATAATTTCTTTAGTAACCATTATTTCTTTTATTATAACGATATTTACTTTGCTAAATTAAATTATTAGATACTTCTATGCCTTTGTTATATAATGGAATTAAAATCAATTGATACTAACTTGCACATATGTATATTTTGTATCTTTATAATTTTTATTCTGGTGCGACCTCTGAGATTGGGCTTGTCTTCTTTCTGCCTGAGGTAGCATTTAGCATGTAGGAGGCTACTTTTCTTCTTCATTGTCAGAATTAGCTTTTAGAAGGAATGAGGACACAGCATTAGACAGGTGAATACATGTGGGGAAACAAATAGCTATGTGAAGTGAGAAGAGGCCGACATGTTTATCAAGTCCCAGGTAGGGCTTTGGCAAGCCCAATGTAGTTCTAGATTGTGATGGACTTACATGCATCGATTTCCCTGTTGTAAACAGAGATGATTTGTTGTGCTTTCCAGTGTTACACACAAAGATGTAACGCATTCCAGGAATGCTTTGAGAAATTCGGACAGTTATTGGGAGATGTATAAGAAAATCCTAAATACCAAAGAGACCCAGAAGTGAGCTAGTTGACTTTCCTAGCTCCCTAGACAGGTTGCCACGATAACTATAGATAATATCACTGAAGGATTTATGGCTTTAGACCCTAGTAATGAAATAATAATTATCAAATTTCACTGGTTTGCTGGATTCATATATAGTTGAATATTCTTTCAAACAAATATAGTAAAGCTATGACTGGCTTAATGGTCAGCATTTAATGTGCTAGGGTGGTTACGTATATTCTTCCTTTTTTTTCCTTTGGGACTGAGGTATTTGAGATGCAGGCTTCAGTTCTTTAAGATACCTCCACCCAGGTTTTCAGTATCAGATCTTAGCCCCGTGGAAGACATAATAGCATTTTCCATTGAAAAGTGGTAATTTAAAAATACATTTTCTGTACAACTGTGCGGTCTGTATTTATTGTTTAACTGCCTGACCACAAACATTAGTGTTACTTTGCTTTTTGGTTACATATTTTTCCTTCAGTGACTTAATAAAGGAACTTAAAAAGAAGAATGTGGAGATTTCAATATTTTCACTAAAAATTTTTCTTTGGATACTTTATCTTGAATTATAGAATTAGTTCAGTATCATCCGACACCTCCTTTGAGCCCAGAATTGCCTGGTAGTTGCCGGAAGGAGTTTAAAGAGAACAAAGAACCTTCTCCAAAGGCAAAGCGGAAGCGAAGTGTGAAGATCAGCAATGTGGCTTTGGAGTCTATGCACTGGCAAAATGACTCTGTCCAGATCATAGCAAGTGTCAGTGATTTAAAAAGTATGGATGAATTTCTTCTGAAAAAGGTAAACTCTGCATGCTGAGTTAGGCCCATAAGTGGCTTTGACTATGGAATACTTGTTTTTATCAGAATATGACCCCAATAGATCAAGTTTACATATGCTTCAGTAAGTTTGATGGTCTGTTCTTCATGGAAAAGGTGTAACTAATAGGATATGCATTACTCGGTCTGGGAGGGCAAGAGTTAAGGTTTTACACTTTACTGTTGACTTGCATGTTACCATAATTGTCACATTATATTCCATGTGCTAAGGTGAGGCTTGTCATTGCATACTTGGAGTTTTTGCTCTGGTAACAGAATGATAGAATAATCCAGTGTTAGAAAGACCTTAGAAATCATCTGGTAGTAATAAAATGTTGACTCTCTAGTCGAGCTTTTACCTCAGTCCCGTAATAACAGGGGCTTGCACTTTCAGGACCATCAGGACCATCATTGTTGAAGAACCAATCAGTATCACTGTTGTATTCACCTCTTTTTAATTGATTGTGTACAAAAACTCTTTTTGTGGCCCCCAGATGAATGATCTAGATAATGAAGACAGCAAGAAAGACACATTAGTGGATGTTGTATTTAAAAAAGCCTTGAAAGAATTTCGGCAGAATATCTTCAGCTTTTATTCGTCTGCCTTGGCGGTAAGTTGGAATGCATTAGAAGATATTCACTAATTAACATATGAAAAATTTGGCTGTGCTGTAGAAGATAGTATGGAGGCTGTGTTCAAATAGAAATTTCTCAAATTCCTTCTTTTGTTTTAGGAATAGGTAGGGAAAAGCATACTGACTGGTCTCAGATTAATACCTTCCTTCAGTTTCCTTGAGTAGTTTTTTTTTCCCTCTCTTAACGATGTTGAATCTTCTTATAAGGTGATAAATTCACATATTATAAAAGTGATTCTATGGCTTTCTACTATTTTGACTCCTCATAATCCTTTTAGCTCTGACTTTAGCTTCTAATTTTCATATGTGTGGAATTGTACATTTTTCCCCAGTGGAATTAGAGCAGTTTATGTTCACTGATTTATATATCAGTTTATTTCACTTTCAGATTTACCTTACAATTTTATATGACATTGGTCATGTTTTAGAAAGTTTATTAATTAATGCTTTGCTCTCTAGAATCTATGAATTTTCATATTCTATAAAATAATTTGTATTCATTTTTCTTTGTTCAGTCTATAATTCATTGTGGAAAGAGAAATCAGGAGAACTTTATTGTGTATCCTCTACTTTTTCTTTCTCAGTATAAGAATTTTTGTTTTTTTTAAAACATAAACCATGCAGTCTGAGAGAATAGGAATTTCAAGACCCTAATAAGAGTAGTGATCAGACTATAGCAAATGACTAATTTTGCATAGAGATAATGTCGGCCGTATTTTTCTAATACTGTGCAACTGCTTATTATGTTCATGTCTTTCTCTGCTTCATACCTGTATTTTCTAGATTAGGGACTTCAGGTTGTTGGGTGCTCCAGTACGCTTAAATGACATAAGAAGAGCCAAAATTATGAAATAGAGCTTAATAGTGGTTTTCTAACCCTACCTAGATCAAAAATGTTCAACTTATTTGAGGAAGTGAAGGAGAAACAAATTCTAAACAAATATAACACTTTTGGGTCATGTTAAACCCCCCCCTTTTTTCTCTCACAAAAATTCCAGACCTTATTTAAATAAGTTAAAATTAATCCCATGTAGTCCTTTACAAGTAGTACAGTGTTATTCAGAATATGTCATTCTTCTTTGGAAAAATAAAATAATGGTTACCTAATGTATTATTAGGCAAGAATTCAAATATTTATTCTTTCAATTTTAGAGTGGAACTATCTAAAGTTTCATTTCTGAGGTGATAGGTAATTAAGTGGGATGCAAATAATCTTTATAGCTAAATATAGTTTAAAAGCCAGGCTTGTGGAGAAGTTCCCAGGATTTTCTGAAATTGTTACATTGTTTAAACTCTTAGGTATTTTGCTAAAATTTAATAGTTTTTATTCTGCAGACATTCATTCCACAGTAGAGAGGGCATTTACAGATACAATGTGACCATTTACAGATACAGTGTGACCTCATGGGCTCGCCCATTAGAAAGGATCCTAGTCTTTGTTCTTAACACTACACAGTACAAGTTGAATCAATCTTCTGTGTTTAGAGAAATTCTTTATACCTTACATGTCTTCTCTTATTGCTTATTAGGTAGATGATGGGAAAAGCATACGATATAAAGACCTCTACGCACTATTTGAACAGATTCTGGAAAAGACCATGAGGCTTGAGCAGCGTGATTGGAGTGAATCTCCAGTCAGAGTTTGGGTCAACACTTTTAAAGTGTTTTTGGATGAATATATGAATGAATTCAAAACTTTGGATTGTATACCCACAAAGGTAAATATGATATGTTTGATTTTTAAAAGGATTCAGTTAAGAATTCATTTTAAGAGTCTTTCTTAAAAGTTTATCAGACCATATTATCTAAACCTTCTGCAATTAATATATTCTTTGCTGAGTTAAAATATAACATTGTGTCCTCAGCGTTATATCCTCCACTTTGACAGAGGTCACTACATGAATTTCCTTTTGAAAAACTGTGGTTAAAGATGTAATTCATTGGGCGCCTGGGGGTGGCTCAGTGGGTTAAAGCCTCTGCCTTCGGCTCAGGTCATGATCCCAGAGTCTTGGGATCAAGCCCCACTTTGGGCTCTCTGCTCAGCTGGGAGCCTGTTTCCCCCTCTGCCTGCCTCTCTGCCTACTTGTGATCTCTGTCTGTCAAATAAATGAATAAAATCTTTAAAAAAAAAAAAAGATGTAATTCATTTTATCTTTTGATGGCCTTTTTGTAAGGAAACACAAATAATATTTCCTCTTGAATTAGGTTTTAGGAAAATGTGTGTTTTTGGAAATCTGTATAACTGTAATAATAACATTTACTTATTGAGTACCAGAAATTATACTAGGTGTTGCATATTTTAGTTAATTCTTGCTTCAGCCCTACTAAATAACTATTATGAAATCCATATTACAGAAGACACAGTTCTGTGTTATATGTTTCCTTTCAGTACTCCAGTTGAAATAATTAGGTATCTAATTATTAGGTATCAGGAATACTATTAATCCTTTTTATTGATTGGGTCCTGTTTTATTTTCAGTTATTTTAATTTATATGTGTTTAAATTTATAAGCCATTTTAACTCACATTTGAAATAGTCAGATATAAATTAATTCTCGAAAGTTCTTCTGTTCTAGATCTAGGTTATACAGAAGATTTTGTAGAAGGCATATATTGCCTTTGTTTATAATCTTAAAGGTTAGGTTTGGATTGTTCTATACTGTGGTTATTAGGAAATGTCATGTATAAAAGAGCCTTCTGTGTTCCATGTGATACCTTTGTATATTTAGCTCTGGGATGGTGAGTATTTTAGAGCTAAAATATGGAAAGTCCAGTCTTAAAAGTTAGTAATCATTCAGTTAATGACTAAAATAAAATAATCATTTAAATTAATATGGAACGGCTTCTGAACAGAAATGATGTTTTAAAAAGATAAGAATCCCTAAAGTATCCTTTTATTCTATCACTTTTATGAGTACTATGTTTCACTGAATTCAAAAATTTTCTTACATTTGCTTGCCAGCACTGACATTTTCTTCTGAACAATAAAAAACTGTTTATACTATTACCTGTTGAGCAAAAATCTAAGCATTCACAAAGAAGTAAGAAAGTATGTTTGTCTTTGCTATATCACAGTTTCTGTATTTCTCTCCCATCAGGTACCAAAAACAGAAAGAAAGAAAAGAAGGAAAAAAGAAACTGATTTAGTAAGTTATAATCCATTTCTTATGTTAGCGTGAAGTAATTTTTAGCAGTGTGAAGTATATTTTAAAATATTTCTGTGGATATATTTAAGGAATATTTATCAGATGCCCAAGGGGTTATCATTTATGTCTTTACAGAAATTTGCAATGGCAGAAATATCTTGAATTCTGTCACTTGTTATCAGTGGTGGCTTCCTAAAATGGTAGAGACATGAAAATGTTTACTCATAAAAGGTACAAATATCTCTTTTCAGACATAGGAGCTTTTTAACTTTCCCTCCTTTCTTAAAAAAAAAAAATAAGACTAAGATTTTACAAATATAACTACTTTTTTTTTTAAAAGATTTTATTTATTTATTTGACAGAGATCACAAGTAGGCAGAGAGGCAGGCAGAGAGAGAGAGGAGGAAGCAGGCTTCCTGCAGAGCAGAGAGCCCGATGTGGGGCTTGATCCCAGGACTCTGGGATCATGACCTGAGCCGAAGGCAGAGGCTTTAACGCACTGAGCCACCCAGGCGCCCCCAAATATAACTACTTCTAATTCAAAAGACATTCTAGAATATTATACCATGTTCTTATCTGTTGTATTATGTATCTTTATTGTGTATTTTACAATAATCTCTAATTATGAAGATGACTTACTCCCTAGAGAAGCTCATAATTTACCAGTGAAGGCAGGCATTTTAAAAAGTCATTAGAAGAAAATAGTACAAAGTCTGTTAAATTATGGAAAGGGAAAATGAAATTTTTTTTAAAATATTTTATTTATTTATTTGACAGAGAGAGAGATCACAAGTAGACGGAGAGGCAGGCAGAGAGAGAGAGAGAGAGAGGGAAGCAGGCTCCCTGCTGAGCAGAGAGCCTGATGAGGGACTCGATCCCAGGACCCTGAGATCATGACCTGAGCCGAAGGCAGCGGCTTAACCCACTGAGCCACCCAGGCGCCCCGGGAAAATGAAGTTTTACAAAAGAAAATACATTTTTGCTCATTCTTGACAAAGGAGGAGTAGCTTAGACAGATAGTATCTAGCCAAGGGGAAAGAGTATATATACGTAGTCGCCCTTCTCCACCATTTTACTTAACTGCACTTTTACTTACCTGTGGTCAGTCTAGAAGCACATGATCTTCCTTCTACATCAGCCTTTTCTGCTTTACGTTGCTCCTTTATGTTATGGAGATGGCTTCTTTCCTTAAACTTCATGAACCAACCTCTGCTAGTGTCAAACTTTTCTTCTGCAGTTTCCTCACCTCTCGCAGCCTTCATAAAATTGAAGAGAGTTAGGGCCATATTCTGGATTAGGTTTTGGCTTAAGGGAATGTTATGACTGGTCTGATCTTCTGTCCAGACCACTGAAACTTTCTCCGTAACAGCAATAAAGCTGTTTCGCTGTCTTATCATCTACTTGTTCACTGGAATAGTGCTTTTAGTTTCCTTCAAGAATTTTTCCTTTGCATTCACAGCTTAGCTAACTGTTTGGTGCAGAAGGCCTAGCTTTTAGCCTCTCTCGGCTTTTGACATGCCTTCCTGACCAAACTTAATCATTTCTGGCTTTTGATTTAAAGCAAGAGACATGTTAAAAAAAAAAAAAATGAAGTTAGAGACATGTGAGTCTTTCTTTCATGTGAACGCTTAGGGCTATTAATTAGCCAGTTTCCATATTACTATATGTCAGGAAACAGGGAGGCCTGAGGAGTGAGAGAGAAACAGGAGACTGACTGGTCAGTGGAGTAGTCAGGACATACCCATTTATTGATTGCCTTTGCTCTCTTAGATGGGTGCAGTTTGTGATGCCCCAAAACAATTAAAATAGTAACATCAGAGATCACTAATTACAGATCACCCTAAGAAGTATAGTAATAATTAAAACCTTGAAATATTGTGAGAGTTACTGAAATGTGACACAGAGACACAAAGTGAGCAAATGCTATTGGAAAAATGGTGCTGACAGACTTGGTCATTTCAGAGTTGCCACACACCCTCTATCTGTGAAATGCAGTATAGCACAGTGCAACAAAAGAACATAGGCCTGTGTCTAAGCCCTTAGCCTTGTTTACTTTTGTTCTCTGAAGTAGGATTTTCCAATTGAGTAACCGAAGACAGCTTAGTCTCTGAGTTTCAGTGTACTCATGTATAAAATAGGAATAATACCACCCACCACCGAGGATTTTTATGACGGTTAAATGAGATGATATATATACTAAGGAAAGGGTAGAGAAGGTAGAGGGCCTGTTATTAACAGGTAGTGTTTGGGCACTTTATACACTTTAAGCCTTGCAAGAATAGTCTTTTTCATGTCTGTGCAGAAAAGAACAATACCTCAAGATAAGAATGAGCAAAGCATCTGACATTTATAAAAGGACAGTAAGGACAATTCATTTATTCAACAGCTATTTTATTTCAGGGACTAGATAAATCATAGAAAAGTTAGGAAATATACAAATAAATGTTTATACTTGTTAGCCAAATTAAAATGAAAGAACAGTGATTTCCTATTTTGCTCATCAATGGGCAAAACTGAAAATGAATTAGTTACCTAATTTAGAAGGATATATAAATATAGATTTTTCTCAATATTGTGAATTGGCTTATTTGTATAACCTTCTTGGAGAAGGCACTTTAACAATCATGCATTTTTAAGTTTTAGAAATATTTAAAAACAAAACCAAAAAATGTTGACCTAGCAATTCTACATCTAGGAATTTTTCCAGTAGATGTATCACACGTGTTCATGCTACAATGTACAAGGCTTTTTAATTGAAGAGGAGTTTGTAATGGCGAGACACTGAAAACAACCTAAATTTACAAGGAAATGGTTAAATAAACTAGATTACACTCATGAAATAGGATGCTGCTTTTAACACTAAAGTAAAAGAAGCCATTCTCCAAGATGTTTTGTTAAGGAGCTAATCACTATATAGAAAGCTACTATTTGTAAATTTTTAAAAAATAAAAAGCATTTTTATATCTGTACTCATACAAAATATCTCAGACACATAAAAATAGTATCAATGATTATTTTCTATAAACAGGAACTAGACAGAATCCAAACGTAAGGAAAAACTTATCTTTTGTTGATTCTGTTTTGTACTTTTTTTTTTTTTAAGATAATTTTTAAAGCAATGCTGTATTTTTATTGTAGAGATCCGACAACTCTCAAATAGCAAATCAAACATTTCTAATATTAGGTGAATGGATATTGTGGTTTGGAATAAGAACTTCAGTGGCAGTAGTGGACATTGTGTATCCCAAACAACTTAGAAGGGGAGAGACTGTAAAACACAGCGTCAGAGGGCTGGGCTGGTGATAGGAGGTGAAACCCTCCTGCCAAAGGTGCAAGTGAAGCATTTGGGGAAAAAATGTAAGAGCTGTTTTGTACTTGTTGATCCATTCAGAATAAAACAACTTTAAATAAAAACAGCTTTAATATTAGAGTTCCAAGAAAAGAAAATAATGTGCATGTGTGTGATTTACAATTTTTTGAATAGAGGAATATCTGTGAGGTAAAATGTTAGTATCTGGGAATAATTGAGGCATCACAGAACAAGGCCATATTATGAAACTAGGATGAACTGT